TAAATGATATTTTTAGAGCCCGCCAATATTGGCATCATATCAAGATTGCCTTATATGTTATCCAACATTTTGGTATATAGTGCAAAAAAAATGATTGAGCTTTTTACAGCACTGATGTTTAGCTATATATTTTATTGTTGTTTAATATTTAATCTCTCAAGTGTTTATTTCTAGAACTGGTTGACAATGTAGCCTATATGTTAAATTGGTAAAAAAAAAAATTAAAGAATATTTAATAATCCTAAAAAAAGGTCTATTTTAATTTAAACTAAAAACCATATTGGTAACCAGGGAATTTTCCCCTTCTATAATCGGCATTACTCTCAAAAATCCCAAATTTGTCGGGCTCTAATTTTTTTTTACATTACTGGTTTTAGATTAAGAAACATAATTAAAAACCCTTATTCAACATGTCAGCATAGTTTTATTTCTGGGTTGATCAATCCAGGCTAAACATCAATAATTGAGTGAGAGCATGCTTCACTGACAATTCACCATGCACGTCATATCCGGTTGCCAAAAGCATTCAATGATTTGTTATATTACTGTGTAATTAAAGGAAAGTGTCATTAATTATTCTACTGTCAAATGCACAAATCTCAGCTTTTAAATAAGACGGTCAGGCAACGGAAACTCACTAACCCTTTCATGTCTGGCAAAAAGGAAGAGAGAGAGTGGAGAGAAGGATGACACAGAGAAAGACGAAGAAAATGAGAAAAGTATCAAATATAGGATTTTTCCATGAAACTAAATTCAGCATTAAGCCAATAAAACTATAAATATAAATATCAAAACAACACTTGACATTGGACCAATTCTTTCCTGTTAAAAGAAAACACAAAAATGGTGCACAAACCTTTCCCCAGGTAGCGAGACTTGTCATTGTCCCTGAGCTCCAAGGCTTCATAGATTCCAGTAGATGCACCGCTTGGTACAGCTGCCCTGAACAAGCCTGTGAAATGTTCATGGGAGCAGACAGGGAACATAAGAGTGGCACGGAGAGAATCATTGAAGTTGATGGAATCCATTTTGTTATTGAGACACATTGGCACTATGTTTGTACATGGTCCAATCAGTCATACATTGTTGCCTACCTTTGTCAGTGTAAAGGTCAACCTCTACAGTGGGGTTTCCACGAGAATCAAAGATCTCTCGGGCGTGGATCTTGACAATGGACATGGTGTAGGAGCTTGAGATGAGACAGAGAAGTTGAAATTGTTATTATGTTGACAAACATGCAGCAGTGCCTGTAACAACTCTGGGGTGAGACAGAAGAATAATGCAAACAAAAACTCAACGCTATCTAAAAGTCTGTTTTCTCTTACTATTGGCGCACCTCTTTTACTCTCTTTCCTCCTTCTGGCTTACCCACGAAAATATCCTGACCAAGCTGCAAGCTTAGACGTGCTAACAGACATGCTACCATCCTAATTGGATTAGACCTTCTCATCAGATTAATCACATGACAGAAGGGATGCAGAAAGTGCTGCATCTGTCAAAGCAAGGTTAAACTTAAAAGCTACAATAGCCTGTGTTCCTGCAGTAAAATGTATATGAAGTTTTAGCCCAGTCATGATGCTACCTTAATTACAACAGAATTTATGCCATAGCATAAAGTCCCTCTGCCTTCACCACATGACATGATAACACCAATAATCCCCCCCCTCTGCTTGCCAGATAAACATGCAGCAGGCTTACTACTAACCAACAATTACTCTTCCTAAAGACCGAGTTGCACCGCAGACACAACAACATTCAGGAAACTGCCATTCGTGTTCCAACTTCCAAAATTCAATGTCTGTCTTTATACTGCAGCATTACACTGTAGAGCTTCATCATCAGCTAAAACTGTCGTCAGATCCCCAAGAGACATATGTGGATAAAGACAACTGTTGCCAGTTAGGTGACTCAAGAAAGCAACCTTCAGTAACTCTGTGGGGGCCATTTGGAGAAGAATAAGACGATAGGAACAAAATGTAGGTTAAACCCACATTAAAGTTAAAAAAACATGAAATAATTTATTTGTTCCCTCTTGGGATCTTCACACATCCTTGGTTAACTCTCTAAGATATTCCTAATAAAAAATGTCCGGCCGTGTGAAACAACTAATTTGAATCATTCCTGCTGTAGAAATGATTGTGGTGACAGTTTGGATATTTTGAAGTAAAGCTTGATGTTGAGGTTTGATGTAAACAAATCAACTATAACAAAAACTAAATGAATGTGTGCTTGGGCTTTAGACTCCTTTAGAGTTAATACAGGAGCCCAACAAAGTAGACTAAGAACTAAACATATTATATAATCCAATCGATTTCATCTAAATATAGATATGTTTGGCTAAACTTTAGACTTTTCATAGAGGAGAGTAATTAAAAAGCTAAATAAATATACACTTTTTTCAATATAAATTTCGATATTATATCTGCAACTTTACATAACAGCTATAGCTAGTTGCTTATATAGATTACTGTCATAGTCATTATTGAAAATATCACTTTATCTTTAGTAATATCTGACCTTGGAATTAGTAGAGACAGACAAACAAATAAGTATTAACACAAGTTACTAGTGAATCTAATGAGCAGACATTGAGTTAAGAGCTGTTGTTTGTTTGTTTTCAGTGTATCTCATTAAGATGTTTAACATTAACATGTTTACATTCTGTCAAAGTCACTTACTGGTAATTTGAGATTTGACTGATTATCATTTTAACACACTGTAACCTGTCGGACCAATGTCTAAGGAGAAAAAAATAGTAACTAAATCATTCAAACTTGAAGCAGAAAGTGAACTTCTCCAACTTTTATCCAGACCGCAAACACAACGTTTCCTGACTGACATTAGCTATAACATCAGCTAACTGAACTCAGAACAGATTAAAACATCAGTAACGTAACACGAGAACAAGAGCCTGTTGACAGACGACGGCTACAATAAGAACAAACAAATGAAACATCCCTGTTAACAATGATGAAACAGTGTAAATAAGTGTCTCTACCTTGCTTTTCGTTCAGAAGTTGAAACGAAGAAACCAAAGGAGTGCAAGTGAGGAGTTTCTTCTTCTCCTTATTTATTTCCGGTACGCTTGACGCGTTGTATGCGTGTTGCTGCCCCCCACAGGTATCAATGTGAACTACATGGCACTGCAGGACTGGTCACTACACTGTGAAAGGTAAAATGGATTTGTTTTTAATATGCTTGTCCTCTTTGTTCTCCGTAGTTTATAAACACATATCTAAAAAAGGCTACTGTCTTGTTGTCCTGTATAGTAGAGCTGAAAAGATAACATGATTAGTTAATTAATTATTTTTATTTTAACAAGAATGCCAAGAATTCCAGCACTGAGAGATAACAATCAACGGTTAATGAAGAGCATTTATAGTGTGAAAAAGTAATAAATGTGTATACTGCAGGTTATGATTTATACAGCTATTATCGGTAGATGACAGATGCCGGGTTAACCGATAGTAAAACTAAAAGCCTGCAGGTAAAAGCATCAGGGCTTTATTGTAGCAGTATATACACGAACAGACTTGTGAGGCATCATAGTGGCCTGAAGGGAAATGTGACAATGAGAGTAAGTGAGTAAAGAAATATGTATTTGTCGTTTCAGAGCATTTAGAACGAAACACAATGTTCCCAGCAATCTAACTAATCTAATTGACTGTCTGGACTCAAAGAGAGGCATGAGATTAAATTAAGATAAAATAAGAGCAGTCCTTATTATAAGCCCTGGAAGTGTTCAAAAAGCCTTGCAGCAGAGCAGGCTGGTACCTTTGATCTCTCATATTAATTGGACTTGACTTGGGAGTGTTGATTTGGGACATTACAGCCAATAGCAAGAATGATATTTGTGACTATATTTTGGTGATGATTTATAGAGCAACAGAAGTGTGAACACATCAAGGCAAAAATATTCAGGTGCAAGACAAAAATATAACGCACTGCAGGGCAGGAAGGAGAAACGGATGCTCTGTTAGGCTCCAAATAAATAGTTGACTTCTCTTTTCAAGGTAACATTTCAATCTACAAGGCCTGAGGAAGATCTTGTGGGTAAAAAAGTTGCCTTGAAATGAGAATTTTACTATATATATATAGACCTTTCTGTCCTGCACTGATTTATAGAGGAAGGACAGAGTGGCCAAGAGCCATGCTTCCTTTTTCTCCTGATCACAGCTGTATAAATCACATGCTGCAGTATGTCTCCATTAACCCCAGGAGCTGACATTAATAACTTTCTCACCTTCTAGATATTTATTACATGAACTCTTGACTTTTATTTCTCATCAGACTAAAGTCATAAATTTCTTCATTCTTGCCCTTACATGCACAAGTACCAGGTACAACAAACATTGCATCATCCTGTGACATTATTAGTTAGTGTTTTGCACCTTGAGGGGATGAGGCGGTTGTCCTGCAGTCGAGCCCTTTTGTGATGTTGTGGTGAACTTTAAAACCCAATGAAGTCATTAAGGTTGGAACCCCAAGCTTTGCCCTAGGATTCATACCATGGCAGCTCCTGCCAGGTGAGGGGGCTGCAAGAGATCATGTTAAGACACGTGACTTTATACCACTGCATACCACAATACTCTACATACTACATCATTGACAGTACACACTCTGTTTGACTCCAATGTATGATTTACTTTATTTATTTATATTTTAAAAGTACTATATTTTTGTGTGATTTTTTTTATATTTTATGCACCAATGCACCAAGACAAATTCCTCATGTGTAAAAACTTACTTGGCAATAAATCTAATTCTGATTCTGATTTTAAAGATAATTTTGTGAGGCAACACATATTTGTAGGGCAGAGTAAAAACACATAGACATCATGTATTATCCAGTAAATAAAAGTAAAAAAAAAAAAAAGATAAACCTGTTTGAGTTGAAAGGGCAAACTGTGTCTCTGTCCCCACCACAGTATAATGTATAAGATTAATGTATAATGCCGCGTTGTCCAGCAGGGGGCAGTCTACTGTTGCTCACTTCCTCTCACATGCAGAGGAAATGAGCGGCAACCACAGAAGAAGAAACGCCTGAGTCTCAAGGAACGTGCTAAGCTGATATATCCATTTATTTGTTCAAACAGATCCGTTTTAAGACTACTAAAGGGTGTTGTTCGGAGTGGTAATGTCAGGGATACCTCCAGACACATGGCAGCCGCCGACAGTTGCCCTGGAGACGACGTAAGTATTCATTAAAGCCATTGAACGCTAACCCAGCGAGCTAACTTTAGCGCTCAGCAACGGGTAAGTTAGGTCATCGCAAACTCTTGTGCTTTGATTTCTTTGTCAGCATACTGTTTTTGTGTGGCTCTTCATTCAGCCACATGAAGTCACGAATCACCTGTAATATGTTAAAACAGAGCCTATGCACTGGAAACTGAGATGAACACTGACCATGCATTGCAGGATGGGGACGGTTGTAGTTGAGCTGTACTGGAGACATGCACCAAAGACCTGCAAGAACTTTGCAGAGCTGGCCAGAAGAGGATACTACAGCAACACCAAGTTTCACCGAATAATCAAAGACTTCATGGTGCAGGGAGGAGACCCTACAGGAACAGGTGGGTTCATCACGCTTTTGACTGTATATCCAGATAGGGGCTGGGGCTGGGGGGGTCTGCACAGGTTGTGTTCTTCAGATCTGTTTTTCAAAAATGTTTATTGGAAAGAAACAAATGCACAAATTATAGATTAAAAAATATATATAAATCAGCTTATTTAACAATTAATTCAATTGAATTGGTAGTATTTAACCTATAGAGTCAGCTGAATATGTTCAAATGTGAAATGTGTCTACAAGGAAGCATACAATTCATTATGTATGTAATATAAAAATTAATATTTACTTGGGTTTAAATGCAGTAGTTCTTTCAAGGAAGTTTCAATGGAAATAAGCAAATGTGTATAAACTCAAAATTTCAGAACTCAATGTTTCCCTATAATATTCTCCAAAACTACACGGTTATTTCATAGAAACTTAAAAGAAATCAATAGGAAATTATAAGAGAATAACTGGCACATAAAATGCAGTGTTGCTGGGAAATCTTATACTGCAACATGCAATTGTACAAAATTGTCTGCTTCTAACTTTATATATAAATCAGTTTGTGTGTGATTAAAATACTTAAATCAGGAGTGTAGAGGGGTGGTGCTTCATGTTTGTAATTCTGGGATTAATCAATAGATTCACCAAACCGAAAGTTACAGGAAATTGGAAATCAAATTGAAATTGTGAATTACAGATTTTAATCTGAGTTTGGAGGTGGTGATCGCTAATTTTTGATTGGCTTTCAATTTCCCTGAAATATAAACAGGTCATTATTGAAGCTCACATGGTGAAGTATTTTCTGTTGTAAAACACCAGCCTCTTCAAATAAAGCATGTCATGTTCATACTTCTGTATGGTCTTGTTCAGTTACTTCACTTAATCGTAAATCTGTAGTTTACCTGTCTTTGTTCTCCTTACAGGACGTGGCGGTGCCTCCATATTTGGCAAACAGTTTGAAGATGAGCTGAACTTAGAGCTGAAATTCACAGGTAATAACAGTGGAAAAAGTCCAGCTGAATACAAGGTGGCAGATGTGGAGGAGACGACTGTAGGTTGGTAAATAAAGAAAAGGCTCCTGGCAGGATTTATTCAGACATTGGTTTTAGCTAGATGCACCAAATAATATGGCAACTCAGTGGATATTCAATTACATTTATTAAAGTTGATGTGAGCAGGTTGCTGTTTCAGATTCCTAACATTTAACATTTATGTTTTACTTGAGACTTATAACAACGTAAAGTCACAAAATTGTAATTGTCTGATTTAATCTGTGTGTCTTTTAGGTGCCGGTATTCTGGCGATGGCCAATGCAGGACCGGACACAAACGGAAGCCAGTTCTTCCTCACTCTCGGACCCACTCAGTGGTTAGACGGAAAGCACACTATTTTTGGAAGAGTATACCAGGGGATGGGAGTGCTGAACCGGATTGGGATGGTAGAGACAAACGGTCAAGATCGGCCAGTTGATGATATCAAAATAGTGAGAACTAATGTAGCTAATTAAGCAATTTTATTTTTTTTTTTTTTACACTGTTTTTAAAAAAATAAATGTTTGTTAAATAGTCCAGTGTGTAGGATTCATGTTTCTTCATTGTGTAACGTGGCTAGCCTTGAGAGTATTGCACTCGTATCAACAGAAACAAAACTTCAAACCCAGATATGTATAAACCTTAAAGTACAACTACAATGAGTTGTGCATTAATTGATTAGTCGATTGGAAAATATATCTATTGTGATTAATTATAATTGAATTAATAAATTATAATAATCACAATAGATTAATTATGTTATATAATAGATTTTTCAAGAAAAAATACTGAAAGTATTGAAAAAAAGATTGATGGGTCCAGGTTCATACATTTGAAAATGTCCTTCTTGCTCTCCATAAATCCTTTGAATATGTCACATTTTTCACAGTTTTCTAATAATCAAGAAAACAAACAGCGTATTAGGCGATAATGAAAATGGTTGTAAGTTGCAGCCAGTGGAATGAGGAGATTAATATATACCACTATAGCAACAGTTTGAGTCGACAGCAGTAACGTGAAGAAGAAAAGGTCCTCCGGGCACCCAGGCTGAGTAGGTGTAACTTTGTTTGCCAGGAATGACTTAAGTAAGATTGACAGTTTGATTGGATGACTGCCCTGGCTTACATTTTCCTTTGTATGTGACAAATAGTTTGACAAGCATTTTAAGGAAGAAAACAATAGTTGCATAGCTTAAATACAGCGTCGTGCAAGTCCAAGGCACCTTTGATTGGAAAACAGCCACTACTGGACTTCACAGACTAGAAATTCTGTACTGAATCTATTACTGTAGATTGAACAGAAAGTATCAAACTACTGTGGGTTGAACGACTTTTTATGCCTACGAGGAATGTGACCTGGTGCAGTTGGTGCATAAAAATATATACATATACAAATATACAATTATTCAAATCACACAGAAAAATAAAGTACTTTCAAAAAATAAATAGATAAAGATAAGAAGAGAAAGAGAAAGCTGTGCAGAAGAACGTGGGTGCATTAATGTAATGCATACTTTATATACAGGGTGGGTATAAGAGTCAATGACAGTGGGTAATCCGGGCGAGACGTTTTAGTCCTGATGGACCGCAGCCTCCTGCCAGAGGGAAGTATCTCAAAGAGATTGTGACCGGGGTGGGAGGGGTCAGCCACAATCTTACCTGCACGCTTCCTTGCCCTAGAGGCGTACAGGTCCTGGAGGGATGGCAGATTGCAGCCGATCACCTTCTCAGCTGAACGAATGATACGCTGCAGTCTGCCCTTGTCCTTGGCAGTGGCAGCAGCGTACCAGATGGTGATGGATGAGGTGAGGATGGACTCGATGATGGCAGTGTAGAAGTGCACCATCATCGTCTTTGGCAGGTTGAACTTCTTCAGCTGCCGCAGGAAGTACATCCTCTGCTGGGCTTTCTTAGAGAGAGAGAGAGACTTGAGGTCCTGGGTGATAATGGTACCCAGAAAGCGGAAGGACTCCACAGAGTCAACTGGGGAGTCACACAGGATGACAGGGGCGGGTGGGGCTGGGTTCTTCTTAAAGTCTACAACCATCTCCACTGTCTTTAGAGCGTTGAGCTCCAGGTTGTTCTGGCTGCACCAGGTCACCAGATGGTCAATCTCCCATCTGTAGGCGGACTCATCTCCACCAGAGATGAGCCCAATGAGGGAGGTGTCATCCGCGAACCTCCCTCATTGGGCTCAATCAATACTCAAATGAACCAAATGGTAGTTCTTTAACATCACAGTTAATACAGCAGTAAAATATGGGCCTAAACTGGATTATGTGGCATCGGCAGTTCGCAGTGGCATTTCCAGTGGCAGGTTGAGATGCCAACGATTTTTCCTGTAATGCTACGGCATCTTTCGCCGTTTATGGGGTCGTTTATGGGCTCTACCCACTGAGCTAACCAGACGCTCATTTTACATTGCATTTTAAATAAAATTTAAAAAAAAACAGGCTACCACCAATTTCTTTCCTCGGCACTGCAACATAACAGACTGTAATATAAATCAAATATTGTAATAATCAAAGAAACTATGAAAAAAATGCACAAATAGGGTCATGGAAATGCTACCAAGTCTAATATTGCCAAGTGTTAACATTTATAAACTATAAATGTCGGTATCTCACTAGCAGATGCTACAAACACCTGCAGTCACAGTCGGATATGCTCTTTCCTCTACAGTATGACAGGCTACTGGTTTGGTTGTAAATGGTTTGCTAGTAGGCCTGTATGAGTAGTGGGTGATTTCGGACACAGCCCTTGTTTGCCAACGTTATCTCTCAATAAAAGCAACAAATCTCTGTTTGTCTGTCTGTGTCTGTCTGTGTGTGTGTGTGTGTGTGTGTGTGTGTGTGTGCCTGTGTCTCAAATATCTCTGCAGATCAGGATCAGACTGACCTGAGAGTTTCAACATGGCTGCTGTGTGGTTTAAGGGTGTGCATCGTCGGCTTTGTTTGGACTATAAAGATACAGTTAATAAATTATTTCATAAATTATTTACGAATTCCGCAAGCATTACCATAGCCACCATAGCCACGTGCGCACCAGAGCCAATCACTGCAGAGCCCTAATGTGTAGTGATTGAGATCCTGACCCACCAAACATCCTGGAAAGGGACGAAGTTACGTTTTTCACTCTAAATTACACAATTATTACATAATCACCAGCAGTAAACTGGACGCTGTCTGACTCGCAGGACGGAGATTGTTTTCCGGTGGAAAGTAAACTGATGTCTCGGTCCGGAGGGCTGACGGTGGCGGTGATTTTTGATCACAAACACTCCGTGAGTAGAGTGAATGGGGCTACTCTCCCTGTCCCCACTCTCTGCCTCTTCACACTTCCACTACTGAGTTTGTATCCTCATCATTTTGGTAGTTTCAAAACATTTTTTTCATGTGGAAACCCTTCCTACCATTGCTCTCTCTCTCTCTCTGTCTCTCTCTCTGTCTCTCTCTCTCTCTCTCTCTCTGATGTATGCTCGCCTTTATTACAGGGCTAAATAATATGTCCTGCCCAGTTCATTTACTAGGCTCTGCTACAAGTTACTCTGTTTATGCTGCCAGGTTGTAGTTCACTTTCTTCTTTCAGAATTTATATGCGCTGACCATGAGGTGTGGCACTGTCACATTAGTGGAATGGGGTTCATCTCCCTACAGTGTCCTTGCTAAAAGCCAAATTATATGAAAACACAATAGTTATCAATCTACACATTTCACAATAAACCTAAATGTCCCTGACGTCCCACCTTCAAATACAGCCTCATTTGGCCATCCATGAAAAAGCTACTTAACCTCCCACTTTTCTATAGCAATACATTCTTCCTACGGGCAGTGCACTAGTACCCCATGAACGGCGAAAGATGCCGTGGCATTTCAGATTGTATCTTGTGTGCACACATTTTAAGAGCTTGTTGCAGTGAAACGTGGCCTCACTAGCCTACTTTTGTTTTTCTCTCAATGGCCTCTGGGGCTTTTTTTTATAATAATAATAATAATACTACATTTTATTTAAAAAAAAGCGCTTTTCTGAATACTCAAAGACACTGTACAATATAATATAAGAAGAATACAAGAACATCAATCAGTAAAACAATATAAAACAGTACATTACCTACGTTAAAAACACATGAGACTGAGCTAGATTTTAAAAGCCATTTATAGTACAAATTTAAAGTAGAATTAAATGAAAAATACTCAATTACAGTACAAGTACCTCCAAATGTATTTAGGAACAGTACTTAAATACTTACATTGAATTTATTTGTGGTACTGCCCCTTATAACATTTCAAAGATTTTGCTTTTCGTTGTGTTATGTCACTCACATGCATACATAATGACAATAAACAAGCCTTATCTCCCCCAAAAACATTTTATTACCATATACAAATTACTTTCACAAATAAATCATGTATAAAGACAAAAGTTCTCATCAATATAATAATCCAGGAAAATTCTGAAAACCGTAAAAGCATTGTTTAAGGCATTATGGGTCTTGTGAAATGAATTCAAGCAGCAAGTAGCCCTTATTTTGAGGAGATATATTCATTTGACTTAATATATTCCTCTATATGTTGTAATATCGGTTAAATATTCTCTGGATATATAAAACATTAGACAAGTAAAAGCATTATCACCCCAAGATTTATCTTAAGTCAATACCAGGCCCAAAGAAAATGTAGGTAATAAAAACAGCATTTTGAGTTAAAAAGAAGTAACGGTAAGAAAATCCACTTTAGATGTTAACACCACTGATAATGTTGATGCCAGGATGAGGAGTCACATGAAGGATTTAGTCAATGTGATAATAACAGAATTCCTGCTGCTCAGGCATATTGAGTTAGAAACCCAGGAGGCTGAGGAGAACAAAAGGGAGGAACGGGGGAGAACAGCTCCAGAGGCCGAAGAGGTGAACACTGTGTGGAGTCACACTCGAGCGCTGCAAGACTTGAAGACTTGGGGTCAAAGACATCACTGTTCTTATTGATAATCTTTTTCTAAAAGTAAACAGTTTCATTGTATTGTGTAAAACCAACACATCTGTAAAGCTAAGCCAAGTCCAATGATGAAAACTCTGAAATATTCTCGACTCAAAAGCCCACTTACTAGCTTTTGTTTTACCTCGACAAAGATGCACAGCTCAGCCTACCAAGTGTGAAGGAGAAACTACGGTGGCCCTTTTTTTGGTTTGTCCATTTTGGGCTAGTGTAGAAGGCCTCCGTGGAAAAGGACACGCTGCCACTGTAGATAAAAACGTCTACACACCTTTCTCTGCTGGTTGCCTGGCAACCTCAATGTGCCCGACCAATAGATAGTCCAAGACATAACGCCACGTAAAACTACAACTTCCTGTTTTTACACATCAGTTTAAACAAACAAGATTTAATGTATTAATTACTGAGTTGACAGAGCTAGGCTAGCTTTTGACCCCTGTTTTCAGTCTTTATACTAAGCTAGGCTAATCAGCTACTGGCTGCAGTTTTACATAAACCGAAACCAGAAATGTTTTAAAATAAAATAAGCCCTTTTTTATACAACAGTTTTGGTTTTGTCACATGAGCGATTTCTATATTTGTACTTTTGTCTTGTGTGGGCGGGGCTCAGTTGGACCAATCATAATTTAACATTATTAGAACCGGAAACCAAATTTCACCACAGTCCTTGTTTGCTCATGTTGCCATGGTAATGACGCTGCCAATTCAATCTGATCAAACTACTCCCTCACATTCCCGATGAAGCAGATTTAGTTTTTACGTGTTGATCTCTTAACAAAAATAGCTAAGGAACATTTTAAATGTGAAACCTGATGCTTTAACAACAGCTCTTTAAATAACCAATACATTCAACAGCTGTTACATATATCAAAGGAATGAACTAGAATAACTGCACATAGCTATCCGTGTAGACGTAGCTATAAACTGGGAGCAGGTATAGGAAGAGAGAAAGGCTCAGTAATGTAATGTAGAACTACTGGAATAATCTTTACAGCACCAGGCTTATTATTCCAGAGTGAGTAATGCCCTGCCTATAGACAGCAATAATGTAAACGTTTGTGACGGGCTAAAACATGTAGAAACAGCATTGTTGTCCTTTAGGTTTTGAGGTATTTGAGATGTGGATTCTTTAAATCCACATCTGCAACTCAATGTAGTATTTTGTACATTCAGTATCTGTAACACTTCCAAATATAATTTAATGATTAATAAAAAAAATTAAAAACCCTATATTAGACATTTAATATACTGTATTTAGATAGGTCACTTCGCTTAAAACAAATATCTGTCAATGAAAACTATCACCATATATATAGTAAACAACCAGCTCCACATATTTTATAGAATGAAAAAAGTTATTTTTAAAGGATTGGCATTTCATTACATATTTCCATTCTTTCCACCATCAGGGACAGACAGTAAGGCACTGATGCTCGTCATTTCCTTTGCTATCACTGGAAGTTCTTCGGCAGGTTGGGAGCTTGACTTGAGACGCTAGCAGAAGATATTAATATTGTCAAAGTGCAGCAGAAACAATATGCACAGGCAAAAATAAATAGTTTATAATCTTTAAATGTTTCTTAAAACTGCGAAATAACAAGTCACCCACGGACAACCCCCACTGACCTGCCAGAGAGTCCCCTTTTCTTTAGCCAGTTTGCAGACCATGGTCACTGGAATCATGGTAAGAGATGACATGGCTAAAAACCAGCCGACACAGTACGCCCACCACGGATACACGTAGGAGTTGTTGAACGTCAGGGGGGTGTATCTCAGGAGCAGAAATATAAGGGTGCCCTTTAAAGGTAATCACAAATATAGAAACATGACTGGGTTCAAAAGGAAAGGTAGTTCCTGTAAATAGAATTTATTATTGACTGCTTTAAATGCTTACACTGCAGATAAGAGGGGTGCCATACATCCAGCTGTATTTGATCAGTGACAGAGGTTTATACCCAATCATGTCCTCGATGTTGTCACTGAAGCGTTCAGCACCTAGAACAGAAACAAACATATTAGATAAGCTCTGTCCCAGCTCCATATGTCACATACTATATACTGTAGTATGTGGTATTCAAAGTGCCCGTCCGGGGGCCATTTCCGCCCCCCTCACTCCAGCCTGTGACATGATGTCAAAAAAAGAATAGAATCCATCCTGCAATATTATTTCTAATTATTTTTCTAGTTATTTCATATCAATTTAAACTAAATAATGGCACAAAATAATGTTAAAGGTGCCTGAAATGCATGCAGACGGCTGATGAGAAGAAAGCAGGTCTTGGGCCTTCATTTGTTGTTTGGCTGCAACCAACAAAGATGATACAAAATGTAGAGAAAATGCTGTTTGCATTGTTTTGGGGAGTGTTAGAGTTAGTAATGAAAATATTTTCACAAAATTGCACTCTCTTGTAGGTCTTGAATGTTGAAGTATGATGTAGTGAATAATAAATGTCACTGTTTTGGCAGTAGGTACACAAGATATTATTGAACTTTTACCAACAGGAAATGACATCCTGCCACATGCAGTCAATCATCCTGTTGCTAGTAGCAACCACTACTGAGAAAGTTCTACAGCATTTACACTTTTCCACCATTTTGTCAGATCTGTGACCAATACTGACAGATATCTGTTATCTTCTCTACATTAGAGTCTCACAAAAACTGATGATAAAAACTGAGATGTTAAATGAGTTTTTCTGATCAGTTTTGTGTGAACCAAGCTAACCACTAAACCATTTCTCTGTGGCAACATTTTGGATCATTATTAATTTACTGTTCTCTTAGTAAAGTCTTACGTGGCTCTTCTGAACTATCTTGTCTTCTGCTCTAAATACTGAAAAAATATCATAGCCAGCGACCCAAAACAAGCATATCTCGAAACTGACCCACCCCAAGGTTTTAAAATATATACTGGAGATATGGATAGACCGTTCTGACACGATTAAATTGCACTGAGACGCCTAGTCCTTAGTTTTTATATCCTGAAAGCCAGAAGGTTGACAAACACAGACAATCTGTACTTCCAACTTGTGCGTAACCATTGAACCCATTTTCATTTAGATATCTTGAGGTCAGAGGTCAAAGGATCTCTTCGAAAATGTCCACGGCAGTTTTTCCTGTTGCCAAATTTTAGCCTAACTTCTTTAGTTCCCTTCCCAACATGCTAGCACAGCATGGTTGGTAACAATTGATGTGTAAGCTCATCTAGTTTCATATGTATCATCCACTCTAGCTTTAAAACAAAGCTCGCTACAGCCTCTGAAAGACAAGGATAATGAGGGTGGCCCCCCAGGCCCCCCTCTGGACACATCCCTGTGTATAATTAGTATGATGTCAATGTTACACACAAAAGCTAAAGACAGTCATGCCACTGAAAACTCTACCTTACCATAAATCCATCCAACAATCACTGACTGGAAGATTGCCATCAGAAGAAGAGTGGGACCACTGCATACATAGTGATCAAAGATCTGCAGAATGTATGCGCCAGCCTAAAATTAAAACAGGTTATCAATCACCTTTTATTTTGTGCTAAGTAAACAGCTCCTACTGATGTCAGTCTTCAATAAGAAGGGGGGAAAAAAGTGGGGTTAAAAGGCGTTAACTGATCAGACTGCACACGATAAATCGCTTAAATGACCACCAATTAATGTACTTCTTACAGCTTACCTGTGACACCAATAACTGGCCAAACACATAGCAAACTGCACAGATCAGCAGCAGGAGGAGCTCTCTGCGATATCCTTTTCGGATCTGGGAAGGGTAGACATCCGTTAGAGAGGTCATGATGCTTTCAAGCCCAGCAAACTGGAGAATGATAGAAAGACAAGTTAGTGTAGGGACAGTTAAAGAAGAAACATTACAGGAAATGTTTGGGAGAAACGAGGAAGGCTGCAACCGACCTGACCGTCTATTCCTAACAAGATGATCATGGCGAAGAAGCACACGGACCAGACCTGAGGCCACGGCAGGAGGGTCACAGCTTGTGGGTAGACTATGAACACAAGACCAGGGCCTGCAGAGTGAAACCAGTGAGTAAACAGAGAATGTGTCAGTATGTGATATCATATGTATTGTTCTTGTTCCTTACACACAGATTTTATTTAGAATAATGATAACAGATGAAACTAAAAATAAAAAAAGAGTACCCATTTGAAAACTTGAAATATTTCCTAATATTGAGCGTAATCAGTTGTTAACATTCTTTTCATTTTCATTGTATATCCAAGATTTAAGAGATGTATTTATCACATATATTCATACAAGTACGTATAGTGAAATGTTTGTATCAAACCTTCCAGCTAGTGCACAATGGAAATGCAAAAAAATATGTAAAGTTACACAATGCCAGATATATACATCTACATACAAAAAATGTAATGTAATATAATAATAAACAAAAAAATATACAAAATAGTAAACATATAAAAGGTAAACAGAGTTAAAATGTGAAAAGTGAATGGTGCAATAGTATTTAAAATGGCAATAGTGCAGTTAAAGTAGTTCTCAGATATCTTGTCCTTCAAGAGTTCAGTTTCAGTAGGGCACTACTGAGGAAAAATGAAACATCCTAATTTAGTCTGACAGTTTAAAGTCTGAGTAGGTTGGCATACGCACCTGACTCAGCAACTGAACGAATGTCGACACCTTGTTTCTGTGACATGTAGCCCAGAACTGAGAAAATGGCAAAGCCGGATATGAAGCTGGTCCCGCTGTTCAACAAGCAAAGATAGAAGGAGTCTCTGAAAATTAGAAGCAATGTGTCGTTATTTATGTCTTGGTAACACGGGATTGTTCAACTTACAGGACATGCTCACAGACACCTTGAAATTTAAACAAACAACTTGTAGTAAAATGAATGATGACAAAAAGTAGTAACAGAAAACACAAGACATAAAAATAACTTTACTTAGCTTAAGCTTTTTGTGCATCCATCTGATTTGGGATGGTGATTTAAAAATAGTACGTCTGGTATGAATATTGGATGCTGAAATAGAAACTTTATTCTCAGTCGCATCATGAAGTACTCACCTGTAACAGTTGTTGTTGTACTTGTTGTAGCTTCCAAGTGTAGTCAGGCACCCCAAACATATGGCATAAGAATAAAATATTTGGGTTCCAGCATCCATCCAGACCTATAAACAATAACTAATTATTTGACCAAAAACACTCCCACATTTCCTATAGACAGAGGTACACACATTGTTTACTCAAGTAGAAGTACAGATACTTGTGTAAAAGTATCTACTTGGGAAAAGTACAAGTACTGATTCAACTTCTTTACTCAAGTAAAAGTGAAAAAAAAAGGCTCTGAAATGTACTCAAAGTATGTTGTCATGTTACATCTTTCCTACATGATATGCACCGGTCTTGATGTTAGGAAGGCGCGCAATGATAATAATAATAATAATAATAATAATAATAATAATAATGTTAATAACAATAATTCCCCTCAAATGCATTAAAACTAAAGTAACAAACCTGTTTTGAAAAAAAGAAAGTACAGATATTTGTGTAAAAATGTAGGATGTAAAAGTAAAACATCCTACATTAAAAAGATACCTGCACAGTAACAAAAATATTTGTACTTTGTTACTTTCCACCTCTGCCTATAGATTCATTTAATGCAGATTAGGACACATGCTGAAGGTTACCTGCGGGTCAGCGAGCCGTGCAGGATTGGGTTTCAGGTAGTACTTGATACCATGGAGGGCTCCAGGAAGGGTCATTCCTCTGAGAAACAGCACCATCAACATGATGAAGGGGAACGTGGCTGTGAAGTAGGTAGCCTATAGATTTAAGGAGAAGATGATGATTGTGTCATAAATCAAAGACACTAAGATTGTACACGTGGGAAAAGTTTGCTTGAAACCTTAGGAGCAATTCTGTGATGTAAGTGCATCTTTTGGTAGTTTTGTAACACACCAAGAAACTCTTTCATAACCCAACAGTGTTGCCAGTACATTGGGTTTTTATTACCATCCTGGGTTTTCGACACAGCCGACAAACAGCTGCAAAAAAACATATAAATGATCACTTCGGGTGTGATTTAGGACTTCATATCTAACTGACTCACTGCACACTCCTTATAAAGACAAAACAATGTAACCATATAAAGCGACAGAAATTCAGGGCACAAAAGAAAAGGTAAACCTGTGTTCACAAAATCTGTTTACAAGATGATAGACTCCAAACTCTATTATCCTTAAAGGTGAGGGAAGAGAGGATGCCAATGAAGTTCTTATCATACTATAGGATCAGCTCATATCATCTGAACTTGGGGCACTGGGGGAAAAATACAGAAGTGGGGAGTGACTCACGTCAGGTAACTCTGAGGCACAGACACACAAGGATCATATTTCAAACATCTCTCAGAACAGACATCCAGCATTTCCAGTTCACTTTCTCACAAATCACAGACCTCACGCCCGCCCTGCTTAACAACTGAACCGCTGACAAACGACATGGCTTGTAGCCACTTTTCTCACCTTAGTGAAAAACATCCTTAACACTGTCTTATAACGCTCTGAGCTTTACAGAGAGTGGCAGGTGAACATCGACATGTTGCATGTGGCAGCAGGTCTGAGGAAGCCACAGGTGCAATACATCGGTCTTATTATGGAGATCTTGTTGATGTGGCTTTTTATTTATCCTTGGGGATTGCCAAAATGTATACTTCCACGTTACATATTACTTGATATGCCATACAGTAGAAGTAAAAATATTATAGTGTTCATTTATTTGTTGATCTTGCCTCTCAGTCTATTTTAACCCCTGAAACTCCTGATATCTGATTGGCCACCATATTATCATTAAGTCTTTCAGAGGCTGAATATATTGTCAGAAGCCCAGGATGTGCCCAAATAACCAACGTATGCCTGGGCCTGCCCCTGCTTACGGAGTACAGGTGGCTCCAGATTGGCAATTTCAGACCGGGGTGTGAAACAGTTTAAGATTCCTCACAGCCATGCTTGTATGAATGTGTGTACAACTACTCATTACGAAAAGGCCAGGAGAGACAATACTCTGTCATACTGTCATAGATTTACAGCATCAAATGAATGTATTGTTATCTCAGTAGGTGATGTAACATTGTAACAGCCAATAACTGGTTTGAAAATAAAACTCCATGAGACGATATTACATGTTTGGGCACCTGCCCTTAAAGACATTACATATAATTGTTGGAGAAGACACATTTGTCTCATACAAATGCACAGAACAGGGGTTTTCCTCAGAGTGTGAGTGAGTGGCAACCTCTTGAAAAAAGTCACCAAATTATAATAAATAAATGAGTGAGGATCTGTCATTTCAGTCTTACCTTTCCCGAGGATCTCACTCCCTTCCAGACGCAGAAGTAGCAGATGATCCAGGCCAGAAGAAGACACAAAGAAAGTTCCCACTGTATGCTTCCCAAGACCTCAATGCCAGTGGATATATTCAGCACCCGTCGTCTGTAAGGACCAAGGTATTGTCAACCAATTATTTGAGGAAATATATGTACCATATCCATTAGTCTCATAAAATTCTGTTCAGTCTTCCTTATGCTGTAAATTTTACTAATATGTGAAGAAGGCTGACAAAAATACCTTGTGTAACTAATATTAATGGCTTCATTACATTTAGATAATACGCCAGCATTCAAAATACCAAAGTCCTGGCACTGGCAACCTTAAATGGAATGCACCCAGTATTAGTGTTGTTAGTTACATATGTGATTGACAAGTCAAAAAGTTCATCATGAAAGGTCTAATGATGTTGAAGCAAACTCTTTATATTAATACATGCTTCAATGTGTAATCAGAGGCCCTTCACACCTTCAGCACACAGGTGTTTTTAATTATTCTGGCTCATTAGACCCCCTTTCAAGCTGAATTTAGGGGGAGCTATGCTGGGACTTTGTGTCAGGTATAAACTGTCCCACCCTAACAGATGCAACAAAAAAATATCAAAAGAGTGATGGAGATGTCAGTCTGTACATGTCCACATAGTCCTGACATAAGGTCTAATCAGCCAAAATGAGTGTGTAAGGGCTTTAATTGACAACTGAGCTGGATACTAAAGCTGATGCCACATTAACATCACACGGGATAGATGCTAGAGATGGAAGACTACTCCCATGTTTATGACTTCATATCTTACACAACCCATTCCCCGCCAAGAAATGTGTTGTGTAAGGGGGGAAAGTCTGGCAAATTCAACACCAGGGTGCTCAATAAATGTTTTTCCTGATGTGGTTAACCTCCTTTACTCAACAGATATAATGGTTAAAACATTTTTAAAATAATTTTTTAAAAGAAACACTGGTGTTTTCAGTTCAAATTGGCACTGTACCTCTGCTACGGTTCAGATTTGGTGGAGTTATGTCAGTAATTACTTGAGACCATAAAATCATATTATAAAATCAGTAATGGTAGAAGCTGTTCTGCCCTAACATGTTCAACTGAATTATTAGTTGTCAGTGAATTATGCACACACCCAGAAATGCTAGACAATTCTTCTGTGCATGTGTTTGAACAAGTGTATGATATAATTTTGGCTCTGTTTCCCATCACCACACCAAAATAAAAAGTTGGTGCTTTCAGATCTAGATTGTGTTAAGTAATTATGGATGTTTTAACTTTTACCTATGCAAATATTATATTTTGTATTATAGTTTATTTATCTTAAATTCAGTCTCATTTGCATCAAAACTTACTGCCAAAACTCTATTACGGACGATGAGGCGTTTATAGGCGAGGTCCAGTTAGCAGTGGCATTGTAGTTGTTCAGTACTACACAAGAATCTGAAACATATCGACACAGTTAAAAATGCACGCTCAATTAACACATTATTAGATCAGTACTACATGATAAATCAATGATTGCATCATGATACTGTGACCATACTTAATTATAAATCCGTCCCTCCAGGATTTTGCATGCTTTTTTTTAGGATTCTTGTGACCTCAAATGCCTGATTTTATGGCAGCTTTTTTACATTTTGCAATGAAATTGCAGGAGAATGTGAAGATTGGAAAAATCTTTGCCATTTTATGTATATTTTTTGTATAATTCATTAAAAATCAATTGGCAAATCGTTACAGTGAGAATAAAATGACACTGTTTGGACAGGGTAAATGTGAGACGTTCTGAATCTTCCCAACTAGAAACAAGGAAGTGAATTTGGTGACTCAGCGTTTTGCACAGGAAACTACAATGGTCAAATTTGTGGAAAGTTACAAGGTCGCACAGAATTCACCATGACTGGATGTATTTGTTTAATTGTTGCAATTGCAACTTCCTGAAGGGACTGATAAATACAATAAAATAATGCAACCCTTTTATGTTTTTTAAAATCAACTTCTGTAAACAATGAGGCTTTAATTGAGATTTCAACTGCTTAACTACTTAAAACAAATGCAATAATAATTAGTGGTGTATGTGTGGAAGAGAAAGACAAATAATTAATTTACCTGTATTCCATGTGTTATTACAGGTGGCCCATGGTAGCTCACCAGAGAAGGAAGAGAACAGGTAGAGGAAAGCCCAGGCTAAAATCACAATGTAGCTGATACTTCCATAGAAAATAATAATTTGACTGGCGTATCCCATGCCTGGAAACAACATAAAATGTTAACATCGTATTGCCATAGTATTTCCTTCTTAACTCTGCTCAGTACATCACAATCTTGGCAGGTGTACCTCACCTTCAAACAAGGGGCAGACCTTCCTCCAGCACATGATTCCTCCCTGACTGGTGTACTGGCCCAGTGCTGTCTCCAGTACAAACAGAGGAATGCCACAGGTCACCAGGAACAGGATGTAAGGAATGAAGAATGCACCTGCAAATGGATAAATGTAATTGGTTAATGGGAGGACTTCTATGTGATACATTTGAGACCTGCTGATAGACCACAGGTCTTTTTCACAGAAGACATTTTGACATGTTGCAGCAGGAAAAGCACAGATGTGAATAATAAGTGGTCTGCACTTATATAGTACTTTTCTACCTTAAAGGACACTGCGCCTTACAATTTGCCTCTCATTCACCTATTAACACACACACTCACACACTGATGGCGACGGAGCTCCCATGCAAGGTGCTGGCCTATTAAAGTCAAGATTGTCCATAAACAGGACACCTTGGCTGTGGAAATTACTCTATATTTACTATATAGTGCACTACATTTACTGTGTGATTTATCCACTACATAGTGCCTTCACAAATTCCACAATGGACTTTGGAATTTGTGACATATCAATATATACATAAAATAAAAATAAAAATAGAAAATAGTAAAATGTAATAAAAGTCCTAATCCTACAATGCAATATAGAATCCAAGCCATGTTTATTATAAAATGTCCTTTTACTGCTCGCTATTAAGAAAACCTTTGATTGTCTCTTATGCAGCATCTATCTATCAATGAATTATTGTCTGTAAAAAGGTTAAAGTGAGCAACTGACATGACTATTCAGACATGTAAATGATTGTAAATATTTCCTTATACAAGCCATAGACAAGGAGAATTGCATGGTGATGGCGGAGTTTGAAATTAAAAGTGACTCCACCGCTGGAAAGGTGATGCATCCATACAAATATGTCTACTCATTACTTCACCACCAAACACCTACGTCTTTGCTGGCTTTCCCCCTCTGCTCTAGTTCTGCCAGATATTACATTGTGTGTGTCAGCACAAAGTCACGACAGAATGAGAGAAACACAACTTTATTTATATATTGCAGTACAACAGATTAGGTACAGTAAAGGTTAAATGTAAGACCAAGTATATATACAGTGTTCCATAATGAACATGGCCTCTGGACTGTTATTGTACTGACTTACGTGGTTGGATGTAAGCAATAGTGATTTGTATGTATGATAGCCTATATGCACATGTTTTCATCTGAATAAATTAATTAGACTTTCAGTTAAAATATCTCATTCTTAAATTAAGTAATTTAACAAGAAAATACTTTAGTGTTTTCAGTAGTTTCCATGTAATTTGACCCAGTGACTCCAAATCAGTACCATACTTTATAACTACACCGGACAAATGAGACACCTCTTTTTAATGCCAGTATCTCCATACCAGCAGTTTCTTAAATTCGTTTGTGACCTTTTGGTCGGTACACTGATCGGTCAATGAGCTTGTTGCAGACAAGAGAAGTCCCGCCGTTCCCTAGGGCTACAAAACACCCCTCCTCAATCTTTTTGCACTTCACCTCACTTAGCCTGACAACAGCAGAATGATTAAACTGTGTACAGAAGGCTACCTAGCTCTCTCTACCTTTTTTCTGCATTGCACTTGTTACACAACTAGTCACACTCCCTGCCGTTTAGTTTAGCACCTCTTTAGCACTGTCACGCAAACGATTTGCCTGTTTAGCATGCCAACTTGTAAAGTAAAATGGCTCCAGAAAAGCGTGTCTAGCAAAGCCAGTATAGCTAGAATGTCCTAGTATTGCCCATGTTTGGGCAGCCGGAGCCCCTGAGGAGTTTTTCCTCTCTTGGAATGGATACACGCAATGCTTGCCCAGTTTGTCTTGGCATGTTGCATGTGAAAGCTACAGTCGTTAGCCCAGAGACCTTTGCGAGCTGTTGCCAACTCAAGAAGAAAATCCCAACAATCCTCTCCAACACCAAACACAAGCTCCCTGGCCCCAACGTTGTATTGGAGCTCTCATGGTCCTGGGCCCCAAGGCTTCGCTCTATCTCTGCCATTTACTCAATTCTTGAATGTGGAGGTACGAAGTCTATTGGACAGACCAACATCCCTCCGATAGACAAGACACTAGTGGTGGTGGCGCTGAAGCCCAAACCCACTTTCCAGATGCAGACCGCTTGTGCGCTGAATACAGCCTCTATGCTGCAAGCTTACCAGACTGAGAAGGACCTGCTCAAGACTCTGGTAAAGAAGGAAAATGCAGCCAGGTGTTTGATTACATACACAGATTTGCTGATTTCATTTTCTGGCTCTCCAGCACAGCAGCTGTAGCCCTGGGGAAAGGCATGGCCGAAGTGATGGCTAGCCAGCATTAGGGTTTGGTTACGGAAACAGGACGCCAATATGGCACTGGTTTCTGTACAACCAGACCAAAGCACAAAGCAGATGTCAGTGCTTGGTTTTGGTACCAGAGCTGTCTATTGAAATAGTTGTGCACTGGTGCAAATGTTACAGACAACAGAGATATCACCACTTGTGTGCCATCACCAATTATCATTATGGCGACTCTCTCTACATGGCTCAGGCAGCAGGTACTGTTAGATAGTAGCTGCCTTAAACACAGTAAAATGCTGAGCTAAATGGTCTAAAGTGTGATTGTATTTTACTCGAAAGGATTCCAACACCAGGCGGGATGTGCAACAGATGTTTCAGAAATAATTACAAGTAAAGGGGGGGAGCATGGGATAAAGTGGATCCACTAGAGGAATCCAGTGTTCGACTACCTGTGTGACCCCATGCCAAGCACATCAGCTGGTGTTGTGGGCATCTATGACCCTTATTTTGCACTGGACAACTCTAATATGATGTTGCGCCCTAAAAACATCCCTAAGGTGCCTGTCTTGCCATATAAAACATTAGCTTGCGTTAAAACTGATCCCCTTCACCTCCCCAGTTTGTGCCGAGGGGGTGCACACTGACTCCACCAGGACCTTGGCTGCATCTTAGGCTCTTTCTAAAGGAGTTTGAGTGGAGGATGCCTGTTCCGCTGCAAGCTGGGCTTCTCCACATACTTTAATGAAATGTTATTGCCAAACAACATAGGATGTCACTCAGTCTGTGCTCTCAGCAGGGGAGTGATGAAGCTGACATAACTGTTGCACCTATCATGATGGGAAGGCGTGCAGTGATACAAAAAGATCAAGTAACATGCCTGCTTGTAATGTAAGGAATATGAGGTACTAGGGGTGTGCATCTCTCCAATAAAAGACGATTCGATGCGTATCTCGATACATGGGGTACGATACGATTCAGGAACGATAGATTTAAAATGGAACGATTCGATTCAGTTTGATTCAGAAGGATTTCGATTCGGCACGGCACGGCTCAATTAGAGAGGGTATGATGCGATGGATTTCTTGTTGAAAGTAGACAATCATTTCATAAAATGAATTAACTTGTGTCAAATGTGGCATTTCCCTTCAAAAAGATTTATCAAAGACTAGAGAAGAAGTGTATTTGTAGTTTTTGTCATGTTTATTAACATGTAACAACACGTAAGAGCTCTCCAACTCAATTAAATTCAAAGAAACAACAGAGAGAGATATGTGTAGCCTCAGATCAAGGCACAATGAGCTAGTGAGGTAGAACATAAAATTTCAAGACATCCCTTGTTCATTTTTGTCTGAAAGAGAACAAAGTGGCTAACTGTAAGTAAGCAGATTATCAGTCATTTAAAGTGCTGTTTTGACAAGCATCTGCTCAATAAAATCCTCCACTAGTAACTACTAGTGTATTTCTTTTTTTTCTTTTAAAGTGTCATCTTGCCACGTGTAAACTAAATAACTATCAAAAACAATTACATCTCATTCATTTTCTATTAGTTTTCTCACTCTTCTGAGACAGTGCCCAATACTGTATGCTTGATGCACTCACACGTACACACACACTTTATTATATGTTCATCCCATACACGCAGTTAAGAAGTTCATGTATGCTTAATGCTTTTAATTTGTCGTACAACCGGAGTACTTTATCGCAGTTTTACAGTCTTTGCATATAGCGACGCTTTTATCCAGTACTCCATTCTTCAAATAAAATCCGAATTTATTTCACACTTTAGACTTTAAACTTGCCGGAGCGTTGTGAATCCTGCCCGAGTCAGCCATTTTTTAAACTTTACCTCACAAACTCACAGCGCTAGCTGACGTAACTGCAACAAGTCTCGCGAGAGTTTTAAGGGAGGGAGCGAGAGACGGTCAGAGAGAGATGCAGTTTTCAGCAGCAGCTGCTGCATCAGCAGCGACACCGATTTTTAACTTTTTAATCGGGCCATCGGCCGGTTCAAGCTACATTAAGACCGATTTACAAAACAGTAGGGAGTAAAAGTTTTTAAAAAAACTACTTAAGTACAGTAGCGAAGTATTTGTACTTGGTTACTTCCCACCTCTGCATATTTCAAATCTCCTTTCAGCTGGAACACATTTCTTCTTAATTTCTTGCCCTTTTATACTTTTAATGACAGATATTTTACTTGTTTCTCACCTTGTCTCTGCTCATCGCCAGCCAAGATTACACAATTTTTGTAACAGGTGTTTACAGAATGAGGGTTTGAGCCACAGAGCTGCATAGTGATTATAACTGTATACACACTTAAGTTTGGTTAACAATATCTCAAATAAAGGACATGACCTTTTCAAAGGACAGACTGTATATTAAGAAATCACCATTTAGCAAACGCTACTTGACAACTTTGGGAGTGCTTGAAAAGATAAGTTTACAAAACCAATGATGAGAGTGATAGCAGAAATTGCTTAACAACTGCTGATCAAAGTTACTGAGCCCTCAAAAATAAATGCTAATCTTACAGGTCCCAAATTGGGAAGTCTCCACAATAAAATTATATATGTGTAAAATAGCCAGTGCTGCTCAAATGTACGTGGAACAGCCTGATCTGATAAAGAATAGAACTGGTAGAAATTGTGCAGTTATATATTTCTTTTACTAGTGTATTTGTCTTCCCCAACTAAAGAAATGCCCGGTTATTGGATGCTCACCACTTGACTTTCCTACTGCATGCCAGAGCCACAAAATTAAGAAAAACCTCCTTATCTATTGATCAGATTATAACTATAGTCAATCAGGTTTTTGTCAGCTTCAGTGTAACCATTATCACCATATTACGCTCACTACAGCATCCCGTTCACAGTACTTGTGTAAAAGTTTTAATTTCTGAGTCTGTTCAATTTAAGGAATGTGGAAATCAGCCTGTGGACAATGGTGTTTTGTATATAATTAAAACCTGCAGGAATTCAGTAAAGAATGTGACTGTGCTCTTTGCACCAGCACTGACATTACATTATTTTCATAGCCTTTCATAAACTGTCACATCCTTAATCGTCTGATGTGAAGCAGAGGGAGACACAGACAGAAAGTTTTACAGCGCATAGCCTTCAGAATTTGTAACTCTGAAATTGTGTACAACTTAGCATGTATGGACTTAATAGTAACACTTAATAATAATACATTGATCACTTTATTACATGTGAAACGCAGGTGTAGTTTCCTTCAGTCCACTTAAGTGAACTTTATTTCTAGATTGTCAGTATTTTACAGCAACAATTTCAAGAGAAAAACCTTACAAGTAAAGAAAAACAAATAAAATAATCTAATAATGGTGCCTTGTTAAATAATAATAAAGCAATACTTTTACAATTTGCCATTCATTTCTACAGTTTATAGAAAACTATTAAAGAAAGAGTGTAAACAAGTTTGAGTGCAGGATCCGACACTATATACATGCATTCATATATACTGCACTTTTATTAGGTGGAGTTAGGGGTGAGAATACTAACCTGGGAGAATAATAAACAGAAATACTCACCACCACCATTCTTGTAGCAGAGATATGGAAATCTCCACACATTTCCAAGTCCAATAATAGCACCAGCCACAGACAGTATGAACTCCTTTTTGCTACCCCACTTGCCACGCTCCTCAACTGTTTGTGAAGTAGTCTTTGGAGGGAGATGGCACAGCCTGCACAGAGAGTCTGCCATACTGCTGAGGGAGAAATGGTCTACTGGGAAGACTGGCAGAGGTCCGTGAGTTTCTCGATTGTCTGGCTAGGGACTGCCTGATGCAGTTTTGTAAGAGGCTGTCTAATTGACAGACTGCAAAGTATTTTAGCCACAAGGGGGACCTCTAGATGTATGCCAAAAAGTAGTTTGCCAGCGTATAAATGACAAACAGGAGAATGATGGATTTTGTGTGACTAATTTCTTTAAGGCTTTGAAAGCGGAGGCTCTTCCCCTTACACAAGGTATAAATGAGTATAACAGACGTGTTGCTTCAGGCAAAAACTCCTTTCAACACAGTCACGAATACAGATCAGCCTGTCAGCCTAAATGTTTATACGCTATATGGTTATGTATCATAAAAAATGTCAGATATTGTAGATAATTAATAATAATAATTAACTTTTTTTTTTCATTTAAGTATTTTTTGGGGGTTTTATTGCCTTTATGATAGTGACAGCTGAAGACAGACAGATAGGGAGGGCAGAGAGAGGGGATGACACGCAGCAGGTCAGGTCAGTTTTGAACCCTGGGCTGCTGCAGCAAGGGCTCAGCCTCAGTGCATGGGTCGCCCGCTCTACCCACTGAGCTAATCGGGCACCCATATAATTAAATTTTAAGGGCCCCAAGTGAGAACTTATCATGGAGCCAAGAATTAATAAATGGTAATTATTTTTCTATGTGCTTTGCCTCTATATATTAGTTTCCATGTGCTTCTCCCCTCAAAGCTTGACCTTAAAAGGTCAAGTACCAAATTGCCTTTTACACTGAAGACATGTTCATATGCTGTTTATTCCCAGTGGGAAAGGTCTATGCATTATCATCTGATTTTAAACTTTTGACCAGACAGTGTACATCAAGATTGCTTTTGTATGTGAATGTTCGTACGTGATAGAAACCTTTCCAACAATGCAAGATAATCCATTTCTGATCCTAACTGACAGATACATAAATCTTTATTTATAATAGAAGTGTTTCCCAGAATACGCCAACCAAAGTAACAGTTCTCGGAGTGACAGCAGGGGTACTTCAGGGTGAATGGCGGGTTGCCAGTAGGCGATATTGCTGTGCTCAAGGCAAAACTCATTTAACACAGTCAAAAATGTAAGCCCTTCGTTAGGTATTCGTGTGATTTAGAGTAATTACACTATGACATTTGTGGTAGATTGACAGCTGTTATATATGCTGTTTACAGCAAATCTATGGTAAATAGCTGTATTTAAATGTTTTTTGTGTCAACTGCTCTTTACATTTATGTTTTCATGTACTTGTCCTCTCTGAACTTGTCCAAGCCTAAAGTTACCCATAAGTATACACGCTTATGGTATATTAGCTCTTTATCTAATGCAGTTTCCCTAGTGCAAAAGCACTGTTGCGCCTATACACCTTTTCGTCGTGGATTATTTATGTGCAGCTCAGTATTTTAAGGACACAGCAGGGGGCTCTTCAGGACCTTTGGAGAGCAGAGTGACTCTTCAAGCAGCAGCTTGTTGGTTGCTAGCGTCTTTTCAGCTTTTGTAGGATAACATTTGCTCTTTCCAGCCAGATCTCTTAGATATCAATCACCAGTGGTAGAAATAAAAGTAGCAATGTCACAGTATAAGTAATGTCGAGTCCGGGACAAAACACAATACAAACAATGTGAATTTAATATTGTGTGTATAAATACAATGTGAAATGAATTCAAAATCTGCACAATATGAAACAAAATTTATTGATTTGTCATAGTATGTTATAATTTTACAAAATAAGTTTTACATTCCTTATAGCAAGTCCACATTGAGCAACCTGAAAAAGTGCACTTTTGTGGTTTACTTTGGGTGGGAACAGCATTCAATGTTATATGCTAAAAGTAACTGAGTAACTACGACTGTCAAAGATAGACAGTAAGACTAGAAGGACTATCAGAAACAGCTCTAATATTAACTCAGTGACATAATGTGAACTTGAATTTATTTGAGTAGCTGGATATGGCCAGGAGACATGTCAAACTCTCCAGCAGTTATGGTAGTTATGAAATTGATTTGGACTTCAGGTGCAATGTGGTCACAACATTTTAGACTTTATTTCTTACACAGACACAACACACATTATGTCGGAGAATATTGTTACTTCAGCAGCTTTTGTGAATCACCTTCACTCTACTATTAATACATCTATTCAAAGTCCGTTTTCCAGCATTTAGCTCACATTAATCTTCTAACAGGTTTATTTCAATAAAACAACTGCAGCGGGGGCCAAAAGTCACGATCGACCACCTTAAATTGTGCATGATGACGTTGATGTATATCTGAATATCTCGTTTGCACAACATTAAGACTAATTACACATTTCTGGAGGTTCCAGAAATATTTCCCTCTTTTAAATTCATAATTGATTTGTTTGTTAGGATAACGTCAATTTTCCTCAACATATAAATCTATAAATTCTTCAGTTTAATTTCTGTCCGTTTGGTTTGGCCGATCACTCTAAGTACAGCGACCATGAGCCTCAGCAGCTGTTGCTATGGAGAAAAAGCCAGACAGAGGCTTGAATCAGAACAGTTTCAGATTGCTTTGTTGTTGCATTCAGCATTGAAACACTGAACTGTTACATTTGTTCAAAATGTTTCAAAAAGTGTCGAATGCCGTATCAGATAGTAGGTGGCAAAGAACAGTATAACTACAGTCAAGTCTGTTTTGTTATTTGAAGCGGAATATCCGAACATCTGCACAATTAATCCACTTAAACATTTCTCCTTACGTAAAACTGTGAGTGTGAAGACCCGTAAATTAATCACATCCTTCATTGAGATAATGAGCATGGTGGGCTGGAAATCTGTAAAAATATGTATGTCAGAAGTTGTTTGTTTGTTGGTAGCAGACTCAGGCTTACGCTCCTCCACAGTATTATAACAAATAATAAGAGAAATATAATAAAAGGTATGTAGGTAAATAAATGTAACACCATAAAAATATAAAACATACAGTAGATAGCTAATAGAGCAAAATTTTAAATCTGTCCTGCATCTGGACATGTATAAGGCAAACCATTTCAAATATGTGTACATACATACATATATACATACATATACACATATATATATATATATATATATACACATACATATACATATATATATATATATATATATATAGCTATATTAGGTTCCTAAAAATCTGTGGTGACAGTGCACCTTAGTGGGCAGTGATAATCAAGATTAGCATCTCCTGATCCTCTATTGAGGTGGCATGTAGAAGTTTGCTTTAACTGAAAATAGCTTTTCAAAACTTTATAATCTTGGTCTTCTCAATACTGGCTGTGTACAACAAAGGCCTGCAGCAGAGAACATTTGACAGTGACCCAACACACTGCTTATTGTGCAGGTTGCAGACCTGATATGGAAACCCACTATAGCTGGAAGTATTCAGAATGTATTGCTCACTTCATTTCTTAAAAATGCTTAGCTTGTAAAAACCTGTTTAAAAGTTTAAAATAAAAACATCATATTTAAAACAGTATCAAAAATTTGCAGTTTCTCACATTTGCATCTCCATCTCGGCTCCACTGCTTGCCTTGTATTCATTGGCAGCAGGAGTAAGAGAGTTGTCTGGGTTCAAAGGGCATTGCTCAGGTTGCTTTGGTGTGCTGTTTGTTGTGATTTCAGGACGACAGAGCTGCCTTAAGTTCTGTAGAAACAAGATGGTGATACAACAATTCAGTTCAATTCAACTTAATTATCATTTAACACTATATGGAGGTGCACATGTAAGCAAAAAGGAGGGCTGAGGCTTCACATAGTGCAAAGAAAAATAAAAAATGGGGGCGGTATATAGCGACATACATGACATAAAAGACATGTACAACTCGAATAAATGAGTTAGTGTATGTCTGAGTTACGTAACAGAGCTGTGCAAATAGAACTGTAAACATAGCAATAGTGCAAAACAAAGCTATATTGATCTGTGCAATGGTCTGTAAAAATAGCAGTAGTGCAAAAGAGAGCTTTATACATCTATACTTAAATGTGGCGGAAGTGCAAAAGAGAGTCTTTAACATTACAGTTAATCTGTAACCGACTGTACTATAATGTTACAAGTAAATGTAGCAGGTTAACTAATACTAAGGGAGGAATATTAAAATCTTGTACTTTTCCTACTTGCTTTTCCTCTAGCGCCACCATGAAGTTCCCATTTGTGGTTTTTAGTGAAATGTCTCCGTCTACAATTATTAGACAGATTGAAATTTGGTACATTCATGCCCCCTCAGGATGACTTGTAATAACTCTGGTGATCCTCTGACTTTTCATTATCATTGCATGATTGCAGAGAGATGCTGTCTGAACTATACAGGTTCTGGTTGCCCTGGCCTGTTTGGGGCACACCAGCATATTGAGGATTAGAGTAATCCACCTGGAATTTGAACTTGCACATACTTGAGTGGCCAGTACAGTGTGTTGCTGGATGATATTGCATTGACTTTTTGCCAAATGAAGTTGAGTCAAGTTCAACCTTTTCTGCCGGAGCCGCTGTGTCGCTACCTCCCGCGGTCATACTGAAATGAGGAGGCTGAGGTTTGTGGTAAGCCTTCATGAGGCGAGCGTAACCAGGTGAAACTACCAGACATAGACTGAGGTTTTTGAGACTAACTCACAAAAAACTGTGTATAGTGTATATTTTGTCTAATATTTGTTCTAAATATTTTTAATAGAGTTGAAACGATTAGTTGACTTATCAATTTGTGCTATTGTGATGATTGAATAGTAAATGTTATCATTTTTCGTCACACTTTTCTTTGTCGTACATGATGGTAAATTAAATATCTTTGGGTTTTTGGACTGTTACTTGAACAAAATAAGAAATCTGAATACTTTTTTTACTTAATAACCTTTTAAAACAATATAAAGTTATTAATTGATAATGATTGATAATGAGACAGCCCCAGTTTTTAATGATATTGGCATCCGTTGTGTCGTGTCTTTGGTACAAAACAGGCTCGCAGACTTGACTGTCAAATAAAATGGTGGGAAAAATACGAGTCTGCATGTAGAAACTCATAGACACATACAGGCAAAAACATCAGACACTACATAAAAAAACCTGACCTTTCACACATTTTTTGAGCGTCATTAGTGTCAAGTTGAGTATTTTTGTGGAGCATGGTGGCATGTGCAGCTGCATGTCCTTGATCAGCATGTCTGGCTTGAGGGCCTCATTGATATACTGCTGTTCCTCTTGAAGGCTTTGAAAACTTAAAGTATGTTATTGTACACTTATTGGATACTTGTTGTTGTTAACTAGTTCTCATTGTTGAAAAGTCCTGACAGGGCAGTTAAAACTCAACCTAGGTAGCAAGAATAGTATGATAAATTATTTTGTTGTTTTTACAGCCACAAAAGTCTCTGCTCTTCAGGTCAAAGTTCACAGACTACTCTACAGTCTGAAGTCTGAATAATTATGATAAGCAAGAATTAAGCTATAAAACCATTAATCTATGAATTACACTTGTAAATTATTAATAAAATGTTTACAAGGCGTCCGGTTAGCTCAGCCGGTAGAGCTGGCGACCAATGTAAGGAGTTGCTGCAGCGGCCCAGGGTTTGAATCCGACATGTGGCCCTTTGCTACATGTCATCCCCTCTCTCTCTGCCCACCTTTCCTGTCTATCTTCAGCTGTCACTATCGAATAAAGGCAATAAAAGTCAAAAAAATAATTTATTTTATTAATCGTTTGGTCAATGAAATGTGAAAATAGTGAGAAATGCCCCATGGTAAATTTTAATTTATAAGCGTTTCGTCCAACCAACAGTCCAAAACCTTTAGACATTCAGTTTATTATCACAGGAGACTAAAAAAACTAGAAAATATTCACATTTGAGCTGGAAATTGTCAATTTTTTGGCTTAAAAATACAACTTCAATGAAAATTAGTTTATCAAAATAGTTAATAAAATCTGATACTATTAGAGCTTTTTTACAGCAGCCATTTTGACATGAAATTGTAGAGCAAACACAACTGTTACCAATGATACTAATTAAGTCCCATTTAGGTCAAACAGAGTCAACGTGCTGCTATTGTGCATGTTGGCTTACTGGAAAGGCTCTGCTACACTAAATGGAACGGAGCCTTAATTAGTATCATCCATATCACCTTTGTTTACCCTATAATTTATTAATAATATTTATTTTTCTTTACTGAGTACATACCTGCCATACTGTCCCTTTCATCTGAGACGTTTTAAAGAGCATCCACAGAGGAACCAAGAGAACACAGAACAGTCCTAGGAACCAGCCCAGAGCATAAGCCCAGGTTGGGTACACGTAGGTCTTGTTGAACTTGAGAGGCTTGTACTTCACCAGTGAAAAGATGAAGGTACCCTGAGAGGGACGAAAAAACAAGTATTTTAATACAGTTTCTGTGAAATCAGGTGTTTGACAACACTTTTAACCAAAACCTCTCAAAAACTGACACACTGACTTTTACCACCAGTTCAGTCCACTCAGTGTAGTTCAGTTTGTTAAGTTTATATGGCCAAAACTATTTGGACAGCCCTGTCACATACACACTTTTTGTACTTTTGGTCTGAGCGGGTTTTCACCGTTTGGGCTATACTGTTTAGCTTTAATTAAATGAAGCACACACAAATATTTCAGTGTGACATTTTGGCAAAGGTTTTGGGAAGGCTATTTCCTGTTTCAACATGACAATTCATTTGACCAAAAACAAAGAAACTATCGTCCTGATTTATGTAAGGGCTTGAATGGCCTCCACAGCATCTTCACAGACTTTGACACAGACAGACACTTTTAACAGTCAGACTTCAGATAAATGTCATCCTTATCAAAAAACTGTACAGTTCTTCACTATCTTAAAGGACCAGTGTGTAGAATTGAGTGTCTAGCAGTGTAATTGCAAACAGGTGGTTACATTAATTAATTAATTAATTAGGAGGATATAATAAATTATTCTGAAATGGACCTTTCTCATAATTACTACTTTCACTTTTAGTACTGTTAAATATATTCTAATTCTAATACTAGTAAAATGTTGAATGCAGGACTTGTAACAGAGTATTTCTACACTGTGGTATAAACAAGGAAATTTCATTTTTTGTAGATTCTGGTGCCCCCTGTGGACAAAGGTGGTAGTGTTTCCACTGGCTTGTTTCATTTATTTCAAGGAGAATCCAACTGAATCTATGAGGACTGAAAGTGCCACAATTAAATAAATAAATACACCATTAAATAATTACTTAAATGTGTCATTAATTAATTAAAATTGGAATTAAATACATAAATGTGATATTAAATGTGTCATTAATTAATTCAAATACTGATTCATTTTATGTATGACACATATATAATTATTTCACTATTTACATTTACATTTCATGGTCCTGCGTTGCAGTGCTTCATGGATTACTTAAAACTGTCAAAGCCAGCCATCAAACTCAGTGGGTGGGGCCAACGCGAATCTAGCCTGATCCATTGCTTTGGTCTGAAGTAGAGTGCCTGGAAGATATTCATGAACTTTTTAGGGCAGAGGTCGCTAACAGGCGAGTCTGGACCCATACACCGTCCTATGCGGACCCAGACCTATAATCAATTAATTGTTGAGGATTCTAAATTTTGATGGGGAGCTTCTATTTTAACCAGCACAGCTTTTTTAGTCTTTACGGTATTTGTTTAGCAGATCAGGAAGCTCACAGACCAATCGCATGCTAGTTAAGCCATCCCAAGTGATGCTGCTCAGCCAATCAAATCTGTTTAAACAGCGAGACTGAATACAGAGATGAGAGCGATGAGAGAGGAGAGACAGACGGAAAGAGACGTTAGAGATACATGGAGAGGAAACGGAGAGATGAGTGAGCGCGAGACAACAGAAGATTTATGGCGCTCTCTAAGAAGAGAAAAGTGGATAGAAAATCGAGCTTTTAATGGACAGATTCATTCATATTCATTCTTCCCACTGGGAGCACATAACCAGTGTGTCTCATATGTTCAGAGACCGTGGCGCTGATTAAAAGTGCCAGTGTGAAACGCACCTATGAGACAAAACACAAAGTTTTCATCAAACATACCCACTCAAGTCTGAACAAGGTCACAGAAAATAAACAGGCTCAGATCCCAATATGATCACTCAACCAGTATCCTGACCAGTGTTGGGAGTAACGGCGTTTAAGTATAACGGCGTTATTTTTTCAGTAATGGGGTAATCTAATTAATTACTTTTCCCATCGTTGCAACGCTGTTACCGTTACTGAGAATGTAAAGTGGCGTGTTACTTGCGTTCCTACAATGTGGTGAATGAAGCGCAGCGGTGTCAGCTGCTGGGAGAGGGCAGGGTGGTGACGATGACACCGTTGCAAATGCGATGATGATTGGCTGGGTGGGTGGATGCCAAGACAGAGACAATGGCGATGAGCTAGTGAAATTCAAAGGTAGCGATATCAAACTGGAAGTACTCGCTTACTGAAGTTAAAGGCAAGAATGTTTATGTAACATGTGTGAATTTTATTTTCAATATTTATTTTGTATATATTTTTATTTCTATGCATATGGCCGGCTGCAATCTATTGAGTTCAAATAAATACCAAATGTTCTAAAATACTGTATATAGTGTTTTATTCTTCAGTGATTATAAACATCTTTAACGTTATAGAAGATGTTATAGAATGTAATTATAGACCATAGAAAATAATGTCACAGTTACTTTGTTGAGTAACTAATTACTTTTACAATGTGGTAACTGAGTTACTAACTCAGTTACTTTTTGAGATAAGTAATTTGTAACTATAACTAATTACTTTTTTAAAGTAAGATGACCAACACTGATCCTGACCCATTCATTCACTGCCCAACGAGGGAGAGAGGTTAGAGCTCAATTCTCTCACTGAACAACAGAAAGTGTATAGAAAGATATAAAAGGGAAACAAAGAGAAACTCTTCAATTGTAAAGATGTGTTGATATTCATTTATAAAATTTGTTGAGACTGTTAATCAAGATATGAAACAGTTAACAAAGAAAAAGGGAAACTCAAGCTGCTGCTACACTTTATTTTTCAAAGTTAAACACTTTATTTTATTTTTTAGACTTAGCAGAGGATGTGGAAGCAGGAGCTGCTGACCCAGAGCATGTAGCGGGTAAAGCAGAGGAACTTTTTGAAGTTCTTGAAATTATTTCCGCACTTTCTGACCAAGATATTGACCACAGAGTGACTGCAGATTTAGAAGAAGTAGCGCCACCCAGTGTATTGGAATGTGTCAAGCTCTGCATCGATCCATGAAATGTAAATGTAAATAGTGAAATAATTATATATGTATTTTACATAAAATTAATCAGTATTTGAATTAATTAATGACATATTTAATAACATATTTATGTATTTAATTCCAATTTTAATTAATGAATGACACATTTAAGTAATTATTTAATGGTGTATTCATTTATTCAATTGTGGCACTTTCAGTCCTCCATAGAATCCAACCCTGGTGGCAGGCTTAAAACTGACTGAGTCGAGGCCAAATACTGTATGTTTGGATTGTTGTACATCCAATGTTAACACCAACTTGAAATACTGCTCCATTTTGAAATGGTTCGGTGGCTGACTTAGAGCACTGATTGTATCATCATAGTTCATTTCCTTTCTTCTCAATTTGTATATTATTATTATTATGACCTGTTGACATAGCATTCCCTCCTTCTTGTTTTTAGTACAGAGGCAGTTTGAGGTGAAAGTGGTGGCAGACAAAAATGTTTTAGTCTTCCTGAATTAAATACCATAGAAATATAGTTGGCTATATGACTTTCTCCTCCCTCTGCATGACTTCACAGTTAGCAATATTTTCCTTCAGACTAAGATCTTTCAGATGTAGCCTTCTGTCCAATGAAATTCTCAGGAAACACTTTTAATCTCACATTCTTTAAATCCTCACTTTATCTCTTCCTCATTTCTCACAAGGCAGTGATCAAATTTGAGGAAAATTAAAAAATCCAAAGCAAAAATGTCCCAAAAAAAGCCAAAACTGCTTAAATTGTCATTTGTTCATCACCTTTCTCCGCAACTTTGCCATCTAGATTATGCACAAATACTTCAAACTACTAGTTGTTGTTTTTTTGTTTTTTTACAGTTGTTGGGAATTAAATAAACTCAACTTAACTCACCAGACAAACAGTGGGAGTAATGTAAAGCCAGCAAATCTTCATTAATGGCCATGGGCGATAACCTATCATGTCTTCGATGTTGTCATAGAGACGATCTGCACCTGGAAATCAAGAAGAAAGTTTTAAATAAAAATTTGTAGAAACTAACGTGAATCTTGCACAGTCCCCAAAACAGTAATTAGATTAGAACACTTCAGCTAGTTTTTATTTAGTATATATGCTTATATACAAATTTTAGCATCATGATCAACAAGTTGAAAATGAAATGTCATCAATTAGTCAGATATACAGTATATAGTGTTTCTCTCTGCATTCAAGAAGAAATAAAAATGTATTGCTTAAAGCTGCTTAGAGCTGTAAGGATACATAGATTCAGTAAGATTGAAATTCTAACTTCTAACTATGTAAAGAATCTTTATCTGTTAAGATATTTTACAAATAACCACAATGACGTTTATTGGCACTCAGAATCTAAGTGTCGACCCCTGACTGAATATTCCTCTTAATAATCACAGTACTATCAAGGATACTGTACCTGTTTCACTTACGTTATATTATTCAGTGTTAACATCTGTTATTAACCCTTTATAGGGCACTCATTGAAATACTTGGAAATTTTAAATTTCAATCCTGGAGTGTTATTGGTGGATATAAGAAGACATTTTTTCTGTTTTGATTTTTCTGAAAAATTCAGTTTTAGGCTGAAAATCAAAGTCAATGATGTCTACATGGGCTGGCACAACAACAATCTGTGGCACTGCAGGCCTCCTCTTCCCATAGAAGGACTGAGCAGACAGCTGCTGCAAAAGAAGTATGTTAAAGTTAGTCATGGAGTTCCACAAGGTTCTGTACTTGGACCAATACTATTTACTTTATATATGCTCCCTTTAGGCAACATTATTAGGAATCACTCCATTAACTTTCACTGTTATGCAGATGATACGCAGTTATATCTATCAATCAAACCCAATGAAATTAATCAATTATCTAAATTACAAACATGTCTTAAGGACATAAAATCCTGGATGACCTGCAATTTTCTGATGTTAAACTCAGAAAAAACGAAATTATTGTTCTTGGCCCCAAAAACCTTAGAGACTCATTGTCTAAAGATATAGTCACTCTAGATGGCATTAACTTGGCCTCTAGCACCACTGTCAGGAATCTTGGAGTTATCTTTGATCAGGATTTGTCATTTAACTCCCACATAAAGCAGACCTCTAGGACCGCCTTCTTTCATTTACGTAATATCAGAAAAATTAGACACATACTATCACAGACAGATGCAGAAAAACTAATCCATGCATTTGTTACTTCAAGGCTGGATTACTGCAACTCTTTATTATCAGGTTGCCCTAATAAGTCCATTAAAACGCTCCAATTAATTCAGAACGCTGCAGCACGAGTACTGACAGGAACTAGAAAAAGAGATCACATCTCTCCTGTACTAGCTACTCTGCATTGGCTCCCTGTAAAATGTAGAATTGAATTTAAAATCCTCCTCCTCACCTATAAAGCTCTTCATGGTCAGGCCCCTTCATATCTTAAAGAGCTCATAGTACCCTATTACCCCACTAGAACATTACGTTCTCTAAATGCAGGGCTACTTGTGGTTCCTATAGTCTCTAAAAGTAGAACAGGAGCCAGAGCCTTCAGTTACCAAGCTCCTCTCCTGTGGAACCAGCTTCCAGTTGTGGTTCGGGAGGCAGACACCCTCACCACATTCAAGAGTAGGCTTAAGACATTCCTCTTTGATAAAGCTTATAGTTAGGGCTGGATCAGGTGAGTCCTGAACCATCCCTTAGTTATGCTGCTATAGGCCTAGACTATCGGGGGATTTCCCATGGTGCACTGAGCTACTCTCTTCCTCTCTCTTTCTGCACTCATTCATGTCCCATTAATGCATGTTACTAACTCCACTTCTTCCCCGGAGTTCTTGTGCTTTCTCGTCTCGCAGGTTCTCATGGATCCTGGTGGAGCCTCCTGCCATGGTCCTGCTTGACTGCCATTGCCAATACTGTTGTTGCTGTGCACCTGTCTGTCTGTCTGTCTGTCTGTCTGTCTGTCTGTCTGTCTGTCTGTCTCTCGCTCTCTCTCTCTCTCCCTCTCTGCCTCTCTCTCTCTCTCTCTCACCCCAACTGGTCGAGACAGACGACCACCCACCTAGAGCCGGAGGATCTGTCCTAGGTTTCTGCCTTTTAACAGGCAGTTTTTCCTTGCCCTTGTCGCCAAGTGCTTGCTCATGGTGGTACTGTTGGGTCTCTGTAATTAATGTTAAAGAGTTCGGTCTAGACCTGGTCTATTTGAAAAGTGTCCTGAGATAACTTCTGTTATGAATTGGCGCTATACAAATAAAATTGAATTGAAGTATGCCACATCAATATACTATGAAAATATGTAATAAATAAGCCATAAGCAAATCAAGATCAAGCCCACTTTGAATTATTTGTGAAAGAAAGCCGTAACATTGAAGTGTATATTAGTATATCACCAATAAAAAAAACCCACCAAAATATGCCATAGAAGTGTAATTAAAACTGTCATAAAGGAAGTTACCATATATGGTTCCTCGCCCGATAATGGGTTAATAAATGGTTGTGTTAGAATTTAACACATTTACGCACTGCGAGATATTCAAGAAAATTAATTTAAGTCAAGGACAAAAACATGTGTATGTATAATATGCCTTATGATTCAATGAGACTACGCTTACAGTCAGTTCATTTTATAAAGCACATCTAAAGAGATGTATAAAAACCTGTAAAATCTTTGTAAACAGAGACTTGTATCATAGAAAATTACATATTATACTCGCAGTGGGATATAACAACTAAAGATTCAGACCAGAAAGTGAGTAAGGAAGACATTTTCAGGTGGTATTCAAGATCAGCTATTGTGGTACTACAATTCACTAATTGCACACTTCACCATGTCAAACATTCTTTATGCCCTAACCACAAACCCTGCTGAGGCACTATTTAAATCCCTCTTGACAAGTTGGCAGTGTGAATGAAGTGTGTATAGAGCTCCCTTAAATATTTTGAATTCATTCAGATTCACAGAATGAGTGCCAAAGAGACTAAACGCCCTTCCTCAACAGGATCAAATGTCCATCAGGGTTAAATAAGCTTGAACAGAGAGAGATGCAGAGAACAAAGCTGAATGCAACGGAGAACATAAGAGTTAGTGAGGGCAAAATATGTAAGATATCAACGGACCACAGTTGTGAGATATCACTCTTAAGTGTGACAGCCTCACTGGTTAGGTCATTTAGTTTGACTCCAAAAAACACAGCTAACCACTGAATAAAGGCTTTTTAATAATATGTCACAAGGAATACATGCCATGGTATGAAGTGGACTTTTTATTTTTACAATAACCAAAACCTTATGAAACCTTTTAAAACTAATAAGAGAGAGAGCTGGATCCAATATATTGTGGATTAATGCAGGATAATCATAATGACTCACCATATATCCATCCAATTGCTATTGACTGACACACTGAAAGAAGGAGAAGATTGTTGCCACTGCAAACATAATGGTCAAAAAGTTGAAGGAAGTACAAGCCGCCCTGTAGGAAGATATGGGTCAACTGTTACTGTACGTCGAACACAAATACAACACGTACTCTTGAACAAGTTAGATTTCTTAGCATCTTATCAGGTCCAGGACAGATTGTAAGTTAATTAATTAAAAAAAAAAAAATCAATACTGACCACAAACCAAGTAGGGTTCTCACCTCAGTGACGAGAAGGAGGCCGAGAAAGAAGCAAATAGAGCAGAGACAAAGCAGCAGCAGCTCTCGACGATAAGCTCTTCGAAACACAGTGGGGAACATGTCTGTCACTGAGGTCATCAGGCACTCCAGACTCACAAACTGCAAGAGACACAGACCCATGAGTAAAGTAAAATACTGCAATTAACAACAATAAAACTAAATGAGGATTTACAACTGCTTAATGCAGATATATTCTGTTCTCACCTGTGTATCAGCACCCAACAAGATGACCATGACGAAGAAACATATAGCCCATAACTGAGGTAAAGGCATCATGGCTACTGCACGTGGATAGGCAATAAATGCCAAGCCAGGTCCTGTATTTGAGAACAGTCAGTTTTTTTAAAATTTTGATTACTTTTAAAGGACCAGTGTGTGGGCTTTATTGGCATCTAGTGGTGTAGTTGCAGATCACAATTCACTCGCTACACCCTCCCCTTCCAAGCGAGAAGGAGAAACTACAGTGTGTTTACATGTTCTAAGGCAACAAAAGCACAACAATTCCTATAGTCAGGTGATTATACACTATTAAAAACACGGTTAAGCATATTTTATTCCATTTCTGCCAATAGCTCCTCCTAAATGTTCCACACTGGACCTTTAAGGGACAAGATTCACCCTATTGTGTAATCATAAATCATAAACCTAAATTTTGCCCTAAGGCACAAATTCACCCAGTTGCTGCATACATGGACCATATTGACTTGACTGCATTATTTATTTCCAGTGGTTCATTAATTGCGGCAAACTTTTGGCTTTTCCCAGTCAACGTGACGCACTGAAAGGTTGGAAATCTCACAAATGTAAACTAAGGTGATCATGATGTTTCTAAAACCAGCAGCAGTTTTATTGAATAGATTAAGGTCAGGAAGGGTGTTTATTGTCTTAAAAGTAGGATTAAAGGAGGTCATGAAACTCATTTTGGCCATTACTGTATCAGCAGTGTTTTTTAGTTAAGAAAAGGATATTTCAGGAGGTTTGACTCTAAAATTCTCAATTCTGCCATACCTTATCATGCAGGAAGTTACCAATTCAAAATGGCGAGTCAAACCAGATTAAAACAACTTTTTCAGCCAATCACAGTCTTGGTATTAAAGCACAAACAACACCTAAACTCGCAATCTGTTCTACAAGCATTATTTGGTGGTCTTACCAGAAGCAGCCACTTCAGATATTGGCAGTCCTTGTTCGTACGACATAAAACCCAAAACTGAAAAGATTGCAAAGCCTGCCACGAAGCTTGACCCGCCATTCACCAAACACAGAACAAATGTGTCCCTGTGGAAACAAACAAGAAGTATTTAGCAAATCACTCTTTGGTAATTTTGTTGTAAAACTCAGGCTCACAGAACATGTTGGCCTGCTACGGCTGTATAATGTCAAGGTGTGGTGGTGGTGTGGTCTTTGTATGGAACCCGGTGTAATTATCTGCCTTTTATTAATTCTGCTTTAAAGAAGACCACGCAGGCTGAAACTGGTGTGCATTTTTTAAAATCATGCCCGACTTAATAAAGGCTTTAACTATACTTTACCTGATCCCCACTGAAAATGTGTAACCATGGTGTAGCCGTTTTAAATCAACACACCTACAAACAACATTTATGCCAGCAGAAGAATTTAAAGGTGCTATACTACACTTACTTATACTTAACATTTTCAAGCAAACTGTAGTGGCTTTAAAAGTGAAGCATTTTATTTGAAATAATTTTCTCTTTTCTCTTCTATTTTTCTTTCGTATTCAAGAGCACCTTCAGGTTTCTGGATCTTACTGATTGAGCACTTGACTAGTATTGTATCACAATTTGTTGGAAACAATGTATGTTGTCTGTTTTCAGTTGGCTCGTCTACTGGCTCCAAGTCAAGCCTTAAGTTACATTTTTATTGTCTGCTACATAGCTGTTACATCTTGTTTTTACTACAGCTGGACTGGATACAGTGATCAAGAGTGTGACTGAACTGAAGCAAAATGCACTGAAAAGGATGGATGTTTGCTGCAATGGCGAACATTATTCATGTTTTAAAGGTCCATTAAATTCGAACAACATAACACAATAAAGTATGGCATAGAAAACATTATTGATATTGATATTGTCTGTATTTTTTTTATCAAAATGGCTTAAAGGGCCCATTTAAATCAGAAATTAGACCTTCTCCTATTTGTTTATATTGTCAGACCAGGACATATATTTCTGTGTATTTCAGTAATTTTCTAAGCAAATAAGCCAAATGTTCTCTGGTCTTTGTGTTTTTGACTGTTAGTTGGACAAATCAAGCAATTTTGAAAATATAACAGACATATTTCTTGACATATTTTTGGGAGAAACCCTACTTATCAAGAAAATAATCAGCATATGAACTGATAATGTCAATAATCATTAGTTGCTTATCAAGTCATAATAGTATGTTCGAGAAAAACAAGAATAAAACTAATTGCTAGAATCAATTCATACATACATTTCAGTGACACATTTGAATAAAACAAAAAGACCAATGGCAGATAGCACTTACTTGTAACAATCATTGTTATACTGATTGTAACTGCCCAGAGCCGTCAAACTCCCCTGACAAATCCCAAAAGAGAAAAGAACTTGGGCACCTGCATCCATCCAAACCTAAGCAGGTGCCAAAAAAACATAAATATTAGTGAACTTTCACCAAGAGTGGATACTGCTGCACAAGTATTTATTGTGAAATTGAAGTGTTTTACAGTATTTGAGCCTCTGTTTGGAGGCTATTGAGCTTGCAGCTTGGCTTGGTTTTTATGTTTAATGTTTGACTTGATTACTTACTTGAGGGTCCACCAACCTTGTTGGGTCAGGATACAGGTAGAAAGCTATGCCGTCCATAGCTCCTGGTAAAGTGAGTCCACGAGCCAACAGAACCACCAGCATCACATAGGGAAAAGTGGCTGTAAAGTAAACTACCTGTCAACACGAGACAAAGGCAGGTTTCTGCTTTTAATGTTGTTTTAAAACACTGTTGGTTATTGGAATCTGACAAGAAGCTGCAACAGAGCAGCTACATAACAAGAAAGAGTTACATAAAAGAAAAACAAATAAATACCAAATTATTTTGTATAATCTTTGTATTTTTCAAAATTACGTACACACTAATTATTCATAATTTAATATGAGCAAAATGTATGTGTGGTCTAGACCAAACCTTGTTGTGACAGCTGTGAACTTTCCACCCTGTCTGTGAGTATTACAAACTGTTGTGCAGTGTTTCGCAATCCTTTAAAAAGCATTTTTTCTTTCCCTGGCCGTCATATGACTTGAACACCTCTCTTTTAAGTCATGGACCATTTTGTTTTAGAAAGATGTTTTTTTTTAGCATCTACCTTAATATCAAACCATTCACTTATTTCCAGAACGGCCCTTTCCGGAATCAGCTGTGCTGATATTTTGTAATTGTTTTGTGTCCCCCTAATACAACTTCTGACTCAAATCACTAAGGGCCCTATCTTGCCGATCTAAAACGCAAGTATCAAACGCAAAACGCAAGTAGCTTTGTGGGCGGATCTCGGGCGCTGTTGCTATTATGCCGGCGGGATAAATGACTCTTGCACCTGGCGCAAATCTAAAATGGGTTGGTCTGAAGTAGCTACATTAGTCATAGGTGTGGTTTGGGCGTAACGAGCAATAAACCAATCAGAGCGTCATCTCACATTCCCTTTAAAAGCAGGCGCGCTTGTTCCATGGCGGATTGCTATTATAACGGCGGATTTGCCAGGCGCACACCAGGAGCGGTTCACAGCCGAGGAGACCGACGTTCTCGTCAGGGCCGTGAAATACCGAGAAGTGTCATTATTGACATGAAATAAATGTAACACAGCCATACAATAAATCAAACAATGTAACGCAGCTTTGCAGGAAGAAGACCCTGGCCTCGGGAGCAGTGCGCATGGGCGGAGCAGTGCGCAAGGGCCAGCTGAGGAGGGAGCAGCGCAAACACCAAGGTGCAGAGGATCCAGACCCGCTACACGCCGGAGGACCCCCCTGTTCCTGCAGCAAACCGGGTTTGACATGCTGGAGCGGGAGCTGTCCGGGATGCGGCAAAGTATTAATGCCCGTCTTAACTGGGTGGCGATGTTGCTGCTGCCTCGCAGGCGCATCCCCTCAAGTCTGCGCCCTTAAAATAGCATCTGAATAAGCGCCACTGACTTTAGACTAGGTTTTTCCTGGTCTGTGGCGGAAAATAGGAATTATACAAGCGCCAGTGTACAAAGTCAATTGCGCTGAGTGCAAGATAGAGCCCTAAAAGCGCTGTGGTATTCTTTTTATCCTTGTAGCCTATATGTTTTGTATTTTTGTGAATGAAACTTGCCCACATGAACAGGTGGCATTCATTAGGTTGAAATGAGTTATTTATGTTCCTGCTGTTAAGAGAGTTTACTAAATCATTCTTCTTGCATGTACTCTTGGAAAAAAGTAAAGAAAGTACGAAATATAATATATATTAAATATATTAAAACATGCAAAATGTTCTTGCATGAGGCTCATTGTTTATGCCACAAGAGTTTAACACCTCATCAGAAATGCTACCTTTCAACATCATACCAAGTGGTGACAAATTTGAGGGAAAATTGGAATAAATGGGAAATATAATGAATGCTGATGTCTCCATTCAGGTGTACTGCATGACAGAATTAAGCAATTACGATCCTATCATGCTGGGCACTTGTGGCTCAGGAGGTAGAGCAGGTCATCCACTAATCAGAAGGATGGCGGATTGATCTCTGGCTCCTCCAGCTGCATGTCCAAGTGTCCTTGAGCGAGATACTGGACCCCAAATGAATTCTATTTCAGATAAGCTGTTGGTACCTTGTGTAGCAGCCTCTGCCATCACTGTGTGAATGTGTGTGAATTGGTGAATAGGACATGGAGTGTAAAGCGCTTTAAGTGGTCGGAAGACTAGAACAAGTACAGTCTTTGTGATATGTATAAAGCGGTCCAGTCCACCAAGAGGACAAAGACCTAAGTGACTTTGAAAAAGGGTTCATAATTAGTCTCTTCCTGGATGACAATGGACCATTTTGTATTATTCTCCACCACCACACAAAAAACTAACTGAGAGAATACGTTCATTTTCAGTTCACAGGGATCTCATGAGTGGGATCTCAAAATGTTTTAAATTTCCTCCTCAGATGCTATGATAAAAGGAACACACATACACACAAAATCCAGTGCTATCTTCTAAACAAAGACCTATACCTTTCCAGTGGATCTCACTCCTTTCCAAACACAGAAGTAGCACAGGATCCATGCCAGTAGGAGACACAAGGCCAACTCCCACCTCAGGCTACCAATCTCCTCAATCCCTCGAGATATACCCAGCACTCGTCTCCTGAAAAGAAACACGTCATATTGCCAAAAAAGGGTAAGTAAAACAGTTTGGAGACAAAAACACTGGGAACTTTGTTCAAAGCTACTAATAATGATCAGAAAATAATAAAGAAGGTTATTATGATGAAGAATTACTGATCAATGTGACTGATCACACGGCGTTATTACTACATTGCCTCACCTTCATGTTGAAAATAATCGAATGTTTTTGATAAATTTCAGGTGGAAATGAGAAACATTTGAATACATCAATAAAGTTTCAAAACTAAGCAGCGATTATACTATTTAACATTAGTGATACCCTGCATATGTATCAGTCCTGCACAAGCAAATAAATCATCTGGCATGTTCATTTTTACATTCATTACAATCCTCTTCAACTCATCATACGACATAGAAGGAAGAAAGACTCATTGTTTTGTGGCCAGCCAGCAAGTGTGGAGTATTAATCAGAGTGCTTTTCTCAAACAGTATCACTTAACTAAAGTCATCTTTGGAGGAATGGCCAAATGGTTTGGGGGAAAGAAAAACCTAGTTGTTCCAGTGGTGTATTTTTAAACACAGAAAAATTTGCTTTTAGTTAAAATGGTGGCTGTTTTTATTGCCTGAACCACATTCACAGTGTACTGAATGTTCTGCATGTTATCTTTTGAAAAATGTTGACCATGACTCAGCACTGTCAGAAAACCTTCACACCCTGTTTTATGTCTTTGCTGCCAAATACTTTGTAAAAGTAGTATTTCTGAAGAAATTGCGGTGTGATTGCTGGATATTGAAAGTCTGATGCTAAACTGCTGGCTGGCTTTAAAAGTTGACCAATACTTTGCAACAGATGTGAAATATTTGTGGAAAGGGTCTAATTACTATGAATGAGAAGTTCAATAAAACTCATAATGTATGAACTATTTGGAACATTATAAGGTTTGAGTTGAGTTTTTGGCTTAAAGTATGAATGCGTAGATAAAAGTCGAAAAGAATATGAATAGTTGTAAAAGTGGGAAAGACATGAAGGATAAAAATTATAGTCTATGCTGGGAGTCAAAATGCATATCTGGCTTTACTTTCTATGAAGAAGCAGATGAAAAATTATGAACAATGGCTCGGAGATAAACTAATATCAATAATGTATGAAAGATGTGTTGAAAGCTGACGCTAAACTGAATTTCTGGCTTTAATTTATATTGAGAAGCAACTTTAGAAGTATGAAGAGTTAGAAAAGTAGAAAAGAGTCAAATCTAGGACTGAATACATTTCATAATGTATTAAAGATGTGGTTGATTCTATGGTTAGCAAGGATAAACTAATTAGGAAATCTATATCAGCGGGGTTTCTCTGGTAATCAAAGGTTTCTGCGTCTCCCTGTGGTGAATAGATAAATATGAGTGTGTGTGCACTCAGTCACTATGGGAGTCAGTGCAGCAATTGGTTGGGGCTCCTGTTGCTTGGAGGCTAATGGAGCCAAAAGTCCATTTGCTTCCGTAGTTATAAGTCTGCAACTGGCAAAAATGTTTTCTGTATTCTGATGAACACATTATGTATGTGGGGTAAACATTATGGGAGTGAAAGCAAGTTAAATTATTTTTTGGACAATATTTTCTCTTATCATTCCCTATTATATTCCCTCTTCTTTCTCTTATGTCCCCCACTCTGTCCACCCCACACACACTCATATGAAAATCTTAAAGGCTGAAAGTGGCATGAAACTGACATATGAATCATATGAAAAAAAAAAAAAAAAAACATTGAACGTTTTAAGGTTTGAATCAAGTGTCTATGTGAATTGTGAAATAATTGTAAATGTGGCAAATGTCATACATAAGTTATACAATTTGGTAAATGTATACATATCTGTATCAGCCTTTATTTTGGCTTTTCTCTTTCTTTGCGAGAAGGAGTCTACAACCATGATTTTTGGGCCCACCTTGACTCAAAGAACATCGACTCAGTGAAAGAAAAAGTTTGTTCTTGACAAATGAAACGAGACAGCCATTCTAGCAGCTCTGTCATGTTGCACTTTGGCACAGCGTTACCTGAAAGCAAAAATCAGTATGCTAACATGCTCAAAATAACAACGTTAACATGGTGATGTTAAGCAGGTATAGTATTTACCATGTATACGATCTAATTTTGTGTGTTAGCTTATTAACAATTACTAATTAGTACACAAAGTACAGCCAAGGCTGAATAATATACAGTGGCAAGAAAAAGTATGTGAACCTTTTGGAATTTCATTGTTTTCTGAATAAATTTGTCATAAAATGTGATCTGATCTTCATCTAAGTCAAGGGTATTGACAAACATAATGTGTCTAAAAATAATAACACAAAAAATTCTGATCTTTCATGTCTTTATTGAACACACTCATTCAATATTCAAAATGGCAGTGGAAAAAGTAAGTGAACCCTTAGAATCAATATCTGGTTGACCGCCCCTTGGCAGCAATAACCTCAACCAGGCGCTTCCTTCCTGTAGCTGTGGATCAGACCTGCACATCGTTGAGGAGGAATTTTAGCCCATTGAATTTCTAAAGTCTTTGAAATAACTTTGTAACCCTGGCCAGCTTTATGTAAATCAACAATTCTTGATCGTAGATCCTCTGAAAGCTCTTTTTGGCGAGGCATGGCTCACATAAGCGTGTTCTTCTTGTGCAGAGCAAACTCCAAAAGTTTGAGGGGTTTTTATCAGTCAAAGTAGCTGTAGTCCACACCTGCAAACTTATTATCTTGACGAGACTCCAGGTGTGCTAAAACCTGACTCCAATTAGCTTTTTTGAGGCCATTAACTCAAGGGTTTGCATACTTTTTCCACAAGCACTATGAGGTTTTTTTGGTTGTTCTCAATAAAGACATGAAAGATCAAAAAAATGTTGTGTTATTATTTTAGACACATTTTATTTGTCAATACCCTTGACTTAGATGAAGATCAGATCACATTTTATGACAAATTTATTCAGAAAACCATGCAATTCCAAAAGGTTCACATACTTTTCTTGCCACTGTAATTAGTTTTGCAAGTATTTAGTTATAAGGCAAAGTGTTAACCAAAAAAGTGTTGGTGGTGCTAGAAAGGAAGGAAAAGTTTACCAGACATCATGTAGATGTTGTGATATTTTAGTTTGGACCGACTATCTCTGGAATCATGCTGCTCGCAAGCTGCTGATAGAGTTACAGTTTCAGTAAATGTGGACTGATGGTGACTGATGGTGACTCATTCCTGGAATTGCTTTACATGGGCAAACAGGTAGCCTACACTGGAGACTAATTATGGGCTAAGCAACATGGAAATGCAGCTCACCAGTAAACCGAATATATGTCCTTGAATTTCTCCTCTCTGTATACCAGTGTTTGTAATATGTGATCAATTGGGCCTATGGGCTGCGATAGAAGGAGGAAAGACAAAGAAAGACAATCACACAAAATCAACGGAGTGCCCAATGTGCTAAAAAATGTGATATCAGTTACAAAGTAAATTACACTTACTCCCAGAACTCTGTTGCAGGTGTTGTTGCATTCGCAGCTGCTGTCCAATTGGATGATGCATTTTTTTTATCAAATTCAACACAAGTCTCTGAGAAAAAACAAGAGGAGATATTTAATGGATCAAAGTGTAGATACACATTTGAAATAAAAAAAGACATTTTATACCAAGTGAAGAACCATCCTTGTCTCTGCTCCCCGAATGATTTACGAAAATTACGAAATTTACCAGGAAGCTGACTGAAGTCTTGAACTGAAGCTACATTCAAAACACTGGTGAGCAACATAACCCTTCAGGGACCACACCAAACCACTAGAATAAGGTTTTCAAATACTAACATTCTAGTAAAAGTTAGCTAACGAGCTGCAAACCTGTTCCTGTGAAACCATTCACTTGAGCTACCAGTCAAACAAGATGTTTTTAAAGAGTTCTGTTTTTTCTCTTCCTTTTCTGCCATTCGCAATTAGTGCTGTTATGAAGATATAAGGTGAAGGAATCAGATGAACACATAAACACACACGTTGGTCGTGCGCTTAGTTAATTTCTGCATTGTCTACATGTGTACCTGTGTTCCAGCTGTTCCTGCAGCTGGCCCATGGGACCTCAGCGCTGAAGGACGAGAACAGGTAGAAGAAGGCCCACGCCTGGATGACAATGTATGACACGGCAGCATATGCAATCACAACCTGGGTAGCATAACCAATCCCTGAGGAGACAGATAAGATGTGGTCAATGTAGATTATTGATATTGATGAAATAATACTGCAGCACATACTTCATCTGTTTTCTCAAAGAAAGTATTGTTATTGCATTTCTCAATTCACAATGGGACCGTGTATGTAAGAGCAGGTTGGCTCAGACTGTCAGGGATTGGTGAGCTTTCTAACACTCTGCCAGCTGGCACACCTGTCATGACCATGTGATTGGTGGTGAAATGTTTAATTACGTGATTTTGTTTAAACATGGCAAAAAAAAAAAAAACATTCTTGTTGTCAACAAATTGAACTGACCAAAACCAACAATGAATTGATCCTACTAACAAATATTGCTCAATATATTTTACTCTGTACCAAAACCTACATTGTTTTTCCAAAAACTATTAAAAACTCATCCATATCTCACATACACTGTTTTTCTGGTATAAATACTAAGTAGAGCACCAAATATGTATTAATCCACAGCTGAAAATAGTCCCCAATAAAGGCACCATTTACCCCGGTTTGAGTAATGTTTGCTAACAGTGCTGAGAAGTTTTAGGAAATTATTGAACATTTAAAAAAAAGTGAAATTGTCATGGCTCTGCTCCCCTCCTGCTCCCTTTGCTCCTCCCCCTTCCCTGTGTGTCTGAGGGTGCGGCCTCCATTCTCCTCACCTGCTGTCTGCTGTCTCACCTGCTCTCAATCATTCATCATGCCTCAGTCTTCAAGAACCCCGGTCTTCCTCCCATTCATCGCCAGATTGTTTCAGCCTATGTGGTGGTAACTCTCGTGGCTCTTTTCAGTGTTAAGTTAGGCAACTTCAAGCCCTCTTGTGTTTTCCCTGTGCCTGTCCCCCGGTTAACCATTTCTCTCCCGTGCCCCAGGGTCCCTTTGTGCAGTTTGGCTTCCTGTGTCTGCTCACCTGTGCCTCTGTGTCTCCGGTCTCTTCCGCCATCTCACCCACCCGTTCCTGCTGTGGCCGCCCCTCATCCCCCGTGTGTGTGCGTGGAATAAAACCCCCTTTAAACCTTCCATACTGTCTGGGTATCTGCTCCTGGGTCCGGTCCTAACACCAGCCCTGACAGAAATGATATGTGTGACTTGTTTTGACAGGATAAGGCAACCAGAAAGTGTTGAGAGACAGACTAAGGCATGTTGGTTTTGGACTTTTCATGGGGATTGTTGATCTTAAAGAAATGGATTAATGGCAGGCCTACTCCATCCGGCAGCAGCAACTTGTGTGAAGGGCATGCTGCCAGCATCAGCAGCCCTTTGCACTGTACAACACCCTGGTAATGCCTACGTTCATAGATTACACGCACTGTCCCACTAGATTGACTACATTTGGTTCTAAGAAATAAATCAGTCAATCAAATCAGGTAAAGTCAGCTTTACAATAGGCTATGTCAGTTTCAACACAGCAACAAACATCCTTGTTAACAAGTCATTCAGTTCTGTACTGATTCAATTTCACCCCTTAAATGAAGTGGAAACATCTCAGAGTGGGAAATTGTGCAGTTTGATGAATTATGAAAAGTTGTGTCATAAAACAAAACGCAAATAATTCCCCCTAAAAGCACATAGAAAAATACATGTAAGAATTAATTACACACTGTATTCTTAGATTACTAGTATGACATACATTACTGGGCTTATACATATGAGCATGATCTTTTAATTAAACCTAACTAAGCATTAATTTGTTATGTTCCAGGATTTAAGAGAAAGAGCTGTATTTTTTTCTGTTGAATCAGCTTGATTGATGCTTAAGTCTCCCCAGAATAAACTAAATTACGTATAACAAAAGAATGGGGTCTTAAATCCAAGTAGGTTATTTTTAATGATCAAAGTAGTTTATTTATATATATAATATATATAGAGAGATAGATCTATCTATAGATCGATCGATAGATAGATATCAATCTATCTAGATATAGATATAGATAGATCTCTCTTTCTCTCTCTCTCTCTCTATATATATATATCTATATATATCTATAGATATAGATATATAGAGATATAGATATAGATAGATAGATATAGATATATATATGTATATATATATATATATAGAGATAGATATATAGATAGATATATATAGATAGATATATAGATAGATATATATATATAGAGAGAGAGAGATATAGATATATTAGATATATAGTTATATATATAGTTTAAAATTAAACCTGTTAATGTGTATGTCTTTAATTATTTATTAGATATATATTAATATGTAAATCAGATGTTACATGCCCATACAGCATTTGCATTTTGGAGAAAAGGAGGAAAGGAAAAGTTTATCTTTGAAAGGCTGACACATTTCCTTTACATGTATGTATAATACACTACTACTAATACCAGTTAAATAATTCAGTTCTGTTTAACTCACTGACCTTCAAACAAGGGGCAGAAATGCCTCCAGCAGGTGATGCAACCTTGAGATGTGAACTGTCCCATAGCCGTCTCCAGGAGGAACATTGGGATACCACAAGCAAGCAGAAACAAGACATATGGAACCAGAAATGCACCTGAGAGAAAACACGAGACGAGCGTGATTAGCATGCCAAAGTAGTGTTCTCTAAGATGAGATGTAATGATAAAGAAAGGTACATCACACATGAGGAGTTCATGTTTGATCACATTTTCTTATCAAGGAACAGTTTAAGAGATTGTACAAGTTTTGTTTTTACAGTAAGATCATTGACTGCGGCTCTTATGGTTTTGTCTTTTGTACTGCAACATCTGGATGCAGTATAACAGTAGTAGCCTCACATGGGGTCTTCAGGGGCGGGATGGAGAAATTTTGGGGATAGAAATATATGCTTATTTAATGGCAAACAATGACATTTATCAATATTTACTTGCCAAATCCCCCAAGTGTTAATATTTTAACTAAAAACATCACATCATAGTGGCATATTAGCAAAGCGTTACATAGAATTGTCTTAAGTTTCCAGTCTTCCATTCATTAATTATGTGTTAGTTACCGTTTTTTAACATGTTATTTTTTTAAATTATTCTAAATGAATGTGTCCCCACATCCACCCCTGGTCTTGTAGTATTTGCAGCCCCCAAAATTCTGGTTTAACAGAATCTAGTTTACCAGATTGTGGCTTTAAAATGCTCAAACACCGATGGAATATTACCCAGTTAACGTTAATGTTAATGGCTAACTTCGAAATCAGGAAAAGAAAAAAACTAAACAAAACAATGGTCTCCTTTGTCCACTGAGTTTCATTTCATCACACAAAGAAAATAACACCTGGGCTTGCTTATCATCTTAATCTATTTATGAGTCAAGGTTATTGTTCCACATTTGTTGACATTACATTAAGATCCGGTGCAGTTGCTTAACTTTTAGCAAGAGAATAAATATATAAATGGGCCGTGATCTTCTGAGGCTGTTGGTATTTGTTGGGGTTTGGTACCCAATCTCTGATTGTGGGGGTGATGGTGGCATCCCCCCGCTGACCTGTCGTCCTGGCGCCCCCTTGCCGTAGCATCGTTGTTGTATGTCATCGATCTCTAGTTGTGATAGGAGTTATTGATTGCGGATGTTGGAACACTGGCCTAACAGCTTTTGCGTTGTTAGCCTTGATTGTGGGTTTCGAAGTAACCATTGGTCCCACATTCGCTGCATGTATCCCTTATCTCTGGGGCTGCTCATATAGAGGCATTCCAACAGTGCCGTGTTTTCCGCCCTTGTCCATCTATGTCTTGTTACAGTAGCCCATTTCTCATCAGGTTACCCTGGTTCCCTAGCACCTGACGCGGACCTTGTTATATATATATATATATATATATATATATATATATGTGTGTGTGTGTGTGTGTGTGTGTGTGTGTGTATATATATATATATATATATATATATATATATATATATGCATAAAGTGCTTTTTAAAAAAAAAATAAAAAAATGGGAATCCTGTCTTACCTCCCCCATTTTTGTAGCACAAGTAGGGGAACCTCCAGAGGTTTCCCAGCCCAACCAGGGTTCCTGCCACAGCCAGCAAGAACTCCAACTTGTTCGCCCACTGGCCTCGGTCCAGGAGTTGGGTCTTCTTCGCCAGACTGTTATCTTGACCCGGCGCCTCGAGGCTGTTCCCTTTGAGGAATTCCCTTGACATTTTTCAGGAGCAGGAACAGATTAATTGCGGAAACAATGAAATGTGACCTAAAAAATATCCGTCTACCTCCTCCACATTTATAGGACGAGGGCTGTCAGGGGGTTATGCACAGAAACAAAACTACTCAGCTGATTATCTGGCACTGTTCACAAGCTTCATTTATTTATTTGTTGAACTTAAGCTGGCAGGATTAGCAGGAATGGAAAGTTTTCACTGGCAAGTGTTTATCAGCGAGCTTGCACTTATAACAGTTTTTTTTTTAATTAAAAGCGATGCATTTAGCAACCCAGTGTAAAACCAAAAAAAAAACAACCCCAAAAACAACGTAGTGAGGTACTTACCCCTCCATCAGAAATCCCCCTCCCCCGAAGAGTTTTTGCTTACAGCAATCTGATCAGTATTCCTCTCAGCTGGGTGTACGGCAAGATCTCTACACAAACAACATGTCATGAGTAGAGCCAGAGTGAGAAACAAAGTAGCAATGGTTCCCTTTTAGTTTCCTCTATGACCTAATTATGGTTGGATTGGTCTGCCGTCTGAGTTGAAAAACTGGCTCTGAAAGGTCCAAGGTATAGCACTTCCTTGCAGTATTTTTCCACTGAGACAGGAGTTGCTTGTGTCATTGAGATTAGCTCAGTTGCTAACAACTAAACCAAATCAGCTGAGCCGTCTCTGTTATGTCAGTGGCTGTACACAGGCTACACTTATGTGCCAATTGGGAATTTGCAGCTTTTGTGTCATGAATCAAGCAACAAAAAAACAACACAAGAGTGGGCGTAATAATGTGGACATAACTCACTGGTGTTTAAGGCATGTACACTGTATGGCATTGTATTACTGTCATACCGTGCTGCTTTGTGATGCGCATCTGCGGCTCTTTTCATTCATTATTTTTTGATCATTTGTGCTTTCGTTTTTCAGGGTTTGGAGGTAGGTGGGTGGGTAGGTGGGAGCTCCCACGGGTCTGAGCTCATACATCTGTGCGGGTCGCATTACCAGCAACCATTATTTTAAACACAAATAATGTGTAAGGTCATAGTATTTAGGTTGATTACTTCTCTGACAGTTGGGTGCTGCACGCCTGCGGCCAGCTGTGCGTAATAACACCCAGTGTCATCCGAAAAAAAGAAAGAGAAAAGGCGGAATTGGGTGTCTCCCGGGAGCGACGGTCATATTTCACACTATTTCAAATTGTTTTTGCAGAGCTGCAAAGACCTCGGGCAGTTTCGGGTTCTTACAATCTACTTACACCTGATGCAAGTGGAGCTGCTGCTGCTGCTGTGTGTGTGTGTGTGTGTGTGTGTGTGTGTGCATGTGTGCGTGCGTGTGTGTGTTTTAAAGTATTGGACCCAAGTCTCTCTCTCTCTCTCTCTCTCTCTCTCTCTCTCTCTCTCTCTCTCTCTCACACACACACACACACACACACACACACACAGGGTTAGCACACTTGTTAGGCCCCCACAAATCTCAGATTATAACTCCCCCCTGTTGTTTTTTATTTATCTTCATGATCTCTGATTTATTTACTACATGTGTACTGTATACCTTACTCCTACTGTTTGTTAATAACCTATTTTTAGTTCTTCACTGACTTCTCTTGACTTTTTAATAATCATCAACTGTAACTCTCCTGTGACACTTAAATGTACCACTGCGGCATAAATAAAGTTAACCTTATCTCAGTTATAGCCCCCGATGTGGAGGGAAGGGCTTCTGAAACACTGTCATTATCCTCAGCTGTACTTTGTTTTTAAGATAAGATAGACTTTATTGATCCCACACTGCAAAACTAAGGGCTAATTAGCATGCTAACACACTAAACTAAGGTGGTGATGCCACATGTCAATGTCATGCAAGCTGACATGAGCATTTAACTTAAAGCACAGATGACCATACGTGCAACTAAGCTGGAAGCATGGTTGTAGACTCTTGCTAGGGTTGTTCCATGGGTTGTCTTTTATAATGACAGAAACAGAAAGGACAGGGAAAGAAACATAAATGAAGCATGGTAGCAGATTCAGGTTCTCTAGTTCACCAGGCACTTTTAAAAGTTGACCCCTTCATCCCTCAGCCGGCAATCCCTACCTTTCATCCCTCCACCAGTTTATTATATTGGTTCACCTTTATCCACTATATGCAATAAACTATTCTATTTCCATATCCTCACTAGTGAAACCTGCAGTACCGTTTTTGCCACTTGGGGCAGCCGAAACATCATCAAAGCATCATCACCTTTTAAAGGACCAGTGTGTAGGATTTAGTGGCATCTAGTGACGGTATTGCAGATTGTAACCGACTGAAATCTCGTGAAAAACACAAATGGCTTGAGGGTTTTATTCATTCTTGGATACTGTAGAAACATGGCGGTTCAACGTGGTGAACTTCATAGAAGCGGACCCACTTCCCTCTGTAGATAAAAACAGCTTATTCTAAGGAACTAAAAATACAACCATTCTTATTTTCAGTTGATTGTAGACTAATGTAAGCATACCTATGAATATTATTTATTTATATTTCTGCCAATAGATCATCGTAAATGTTACACACTGGACCTGCAAGTTGATATGAAAAAAACGTATTAGCAAACAGTCCTTTTACACATCCAGCAGGCAGCAAAGATGCATCATGTCCAGCAGTTACGAGCAACATAATTTATTTGGAGTTATGTTTCAGGTCACCTTGTGAATACAAATCTAATGTTCACTCACTTTTAGCCCTGTTTTTGGTCTCTTCCAACTCCTGAGGGACATATAAGATATGTGTGTATCTGCTCCACAGTGTTAATCGATGAGCTGCTGAGTCTGGTGATAATTCTCTGGAAGTTTATCGTAGCATCGGTTTATATGGTCATTTTATACATTGTTCATATTAAAATATCAATTATACACTGCTTAAGTACAAAAAACACCATTAGGTGTTGACTTAAGATAAAGATAAAAACATACATAGCACAGCTGGTTCACAACAATACATTGTTGACAGCTGTTAGGTTCAATAATCATGTCCTCTTGTGCATGGCAGGGATTCTAACCCACAAATCACAAGGTGCATAAAAGCCTATATTGCTGGAGGGGAGAAAGTTATATTTGACTAATTACTGCAATTTTCATTTCAGCCGGTTTATCTACAATTCAAATTCTCCAAAACTCTTTAAAAAAAAGAAAGTGCAGCCTTGCCACAACTTCCTGACACACATTTGAATCCATCTCGGCTTATGTTTGTTACACAGTGAATTGTTTGTAGTGAAAACTCCACTGGGAAACTGGAAATTTCAGATGATCACATTTCAGGTACATTTAGTGAGGCAGAAATCCAACCCTCAAATGACAAACTGTAGAATGAGTGTCATGACGGCATTGTCTGTGTTCTGTTACAACAAAAATATACTGAGCACTTTAGTTGAGTTAAAACCCTCCAGACTTAACATTAGTGACACCAAGTAGAGTAGAAACAATAAAAGCTCTGCTTTATTTGTGAGGCTCCTCTTTACAATTATTCAATAACCATAAAACAAGACATACGAACACAAGACAAGACAGCTACTATTTAAGGCATATATTTACAGTTTGCTGTAAATCTCTAGAGCTAACAAGGACCATGCTCCCTGTACATCAAATTATTAAAATTGTTTACACACTGGCAGACACTCAGTACATGCTCAAAAGAAAGTTAATATTCAGCTGCAAAAAACAATTGTTGAATAAAATAACGATTTAATTTCTGGTTTACGCAAAAAACATTGTTGTGTCCACTTGGATAATGAGCAATATATCCTGGGCAGGTTGTTGAGCTACAAACAGCTATACATGCCCTCAACAAAAAGGGCAATCTACTTTGAATGATGTTCACACAGTTAACATCATTTTTCTCCTTTGGGTACAGACATCCATCATACAGTGCAGCCTATCTCAGCTGCTGGGCTGGAGGATGAATGCTTTAAGTTGTATTACACACATTTAAACAGGTCCGCTTCGAGTCTGTCTGCAATGCTTCCTTAAGAAAATAATAAAAAAGACCAGAGCAAACAAAGCATTTCACCTCAAAGAGTGATCAGGTTTGATCATCAACAGCCCAAAAAAGGGGTTGATGTTCACGTAAGCTGTGCTGACCTGACTCCTTTCGTTCTCTCTTTAAAACAAATACTTTGACACTTGTACTGATTGTTGAGATTTTCTTGTATATTTTATAAAAAATATTCTAGAAATACCTTTAAAAATATCTTGTGATGTTGTAAAGCAGAGCCTGAAATGAACTTGAACTAAACTGTCCTGATTTCTACTTTAAACTGAATTAATGTCTAAATGTCCCAAACTGAAGTTCTATTTTATTATTCTTCATAATAAATATAGTTTAATAACTTTGTTTCAGTAACTTGCATCACTTCATTGATTCATTCTGTCCCGCCATAGAAGTTCTGAAAAGTTGTGCCCTGCACTTACATCACCCTATGTTTGACCACAATCAGTTCTTATTATTACTTTAGCCATTGGTTGACTTACTGTTTCTTATTTTTGTTTTTAGATCCATAAATGCATCACTGCAGACTGCACTGCAAATGCAAACCTGTTTCTGATTGGTAGATAGCCACATAATTACAAACTTACTTCAGGGACATCACATTTTTGAAGTAAAAAAGTAAAAAAAATAAAATAGAAAAAAAAGATCAAACAAACTATTTAAATATTTACAAAATCAAACAAATGATTTACATATTTACATGGATAGAAACATTGTCCGGAGAGGACGAGTGAGAGAAAACTCAAACGTGCCCCATCCATGACACCTACTGCCCGCCTGAGCAAGGTACAAGAGGAGAGGAAGAAACCCTGGCGCTGTTGGCAGAAGACTGGATTACTCTCATCAGCTTGCAGGGGAATTAATTACAATATATGTGAATATATTTCTCGCCTTCTTTTCCCTGATGCGCTGAAAAGTTGCAAAATCTAGCAAAAAAGTTGGCAAAAGTGATCCCTGTATGATTTATTTAAGGTGTGTAAGCCAGCATGTGACGCAGGGTAGAGCTCGTGCCGGTGCAAACACACACACCTCCTAATTAAAATATATAATCCATGATGCATAAACGTATTGATTTGATTTATATTGACACATTTCTTTAGTGTCCCAGAAGAAACTGTATGTTTGTGTCCCTGGTACACCAGGACATCCTCGATTTCAAGCACTGCTGTAATGTTAAAAATGTTCCATGTTATGAACGGAAGAGGCACATGATCCTGGAGGAAAAATGCTTTGTTTGCTCAAATACATTTATTGATTCTTTGAGACATTAAAGTTTTGAGTTAAAGAAAAAAAAAAAAGACACTGTTTAGTGCGCAATAAGATATTTTCATAGCTTCATTTTAATATTAGAATTACATTTACTTTTACATTTTGGACAAATCCACACTCTATAATTGATAAAATTCAGGGTAAAATTCACCAAATGTCAGGCTCACTTTGTTTTGGGACATGGTGGGATGAAGAGGAGGTCAGATAACATACAATGCATCTCTGTGTGGAATGATTTAAGAATGAAAATGACCCAAATGTTTCTTTGTGACAGTCCAACAAATGAATCAAATCAGCTTTTTATATTCACCTCTAATGGCAGCATGATAAGACCATCACTGCATACTCATTTATAAGCCATGGATGGACACAGAAACATACAACAAATATCTGAAGAAACTTTTCAAAACTGAGACAAAAACATAATGACGTTTTTTTCCCTCTTTCAGCAAAAATATTTAGCATGGTTAAACCTTCAGCTGTGCATTCGTATCACAAGTAGAGAGTCTAGAATAGCAGTGAGTCACTTGAGTCTCGCTCAGTGAGTCAGAGAGTACCTGCAGTTCCTCATAGGTCCCGGATTTTGTCATGCTCAAGCATATTTGGCACTCATTCGATTCATAAATTGATATAATAGTCACAAAGTTAGGCCAATGCAACCTGTATGTAAATACACAAATCTGTCACAAAAATGTACAGCTCAGACCCGTACACCACCCTCTGGTGGTGATTACATCCTCATACCGGACAAAAACAAACCAGATTTTTAAGAAAACACAAAAAACCAACACAATAATAAAGAGATATTACAGTTTTCTGATACTTTCAGTACTTTGACAGAGATCTATCTCATAGCATGGACAGGAAGTTTAGGTTTTACAATATGTCATTTAGATCATGATGTTTCTGTGGGAGATTTTCTTTTTTTTTTTGAAAATGAAGATGTACAAAATCACTAAAGAGATGATGATGATGATGATGATGATGAAAACCACTGATGATGAAAGTGATATGTAGCACTATGGTGCACCGTGTTGCTGGCCTTTCTTTCTGTTCTTACTATATTCTTGTCATCTGACACATTGGAAAAGTATACAAAAAACAGAAATCTCTGAAAGGAATTTTATTTTCACATTCTTCAGCACTATGAGAAGAAATGGCATCTGATGAGAAATCAGATGGAGTGCACCATAGCCGCATGACATTATAATGACAAACACACTGTAATCTTTACTCAGAATTAACATTATATGCTACAGAACATACTAATCATGATTCAACACCTTTTCAGTCACATTGAGTTTGGCTATTTCACTGCATCTCCTCAACAAATGATGTTTCATTCACTTTTAATTTTGCACAACCTGAAAGAAATAGTCCAACATTTTGGGGAAATACACTTGTATCATGCCAAGAGTTAGAGGAGAGGGTTAACCTCATTTGGTATAAATTTAAATGAGAATGAATGAGAATAAATTATGGGCTGAACTGTTTTATGGCCAGAAGCAGTGGCTTTCTGCTGGTTGCCCTGGCAACTGCTGTCACCAAAACCCCCATCGAAATCAGATACGTCGTTTTTACACTAAAAAGATGAGATATAATGTGTTAATTTATGAGCTTTAGAGGTGCTGCTAGGTGGATTTTGAGTCAGGCTAACAGTTTCCCCCTGATACCAGTGTTTATGCTAAGTTAAGCTAAGAATCTGTTAGTTGTAGCCTCATATTAAGAGTACAGACGTGAGCGTGGCAACAATCTTCTAATCGAACTTGGCAAAAAGCAAATAAGCATATTTCCCAAAAGCGTCAAAATACTCCTTTAAAACAGACATTATTTTCAAATACAGTATGGTGTAAAACAATCAGGAGTTAGCACTTTTTTTTTTCAAATACAACTTCAATTTCGACTTAAAGCCCCTTTCAAATTTCACCACCATCAGCCATAAAACTTCAAACAGGTGCTGATTTATTTTTTACAACAGGCCGCCCTCACAGACAGCAATGAAGATGTTTCTCCAGGTTGAATATGGAAGGCACAGTGAGAAAATCATTAAAATGGACTTCAAGATACGCGTTCATGTTAGTACAGTAAACACAGAGCACAGCCCTTTAGTTAAACAACCCATACAATAAATTCAGTTTGGGGAACTTAATGACAGAACTTCTTATCTCGACTTGTAGCTCATTGCCCTGCAGATTGCATCAGCAGAACAAATCACACCAATGAGCAGCACTTAATGATTTCACAGACACCTGTGTGAATTGTGCCTGGAGCATAAACACTGAGAGTTATGAAAATGAAATGCTTGAGATAGCATCAGTCAATCACAACGAGTGATGAGAATGGGAACTGTACTTCTTTTGAATTCAAGTGCGTTGAGATCACGCAAGTGTTTTTTTTTTGTGCAGAGCGATTTTGAAAAACAATTATTTAACATATATATTTATTTTTTATTATTAATCCATAAACACAGGAGTATGTGGTAATAATGGTAATGCTGTAATCACTGTTAACTGGTTTGGGTGGTGGTGAGGTTACTGCGTTATAACAAAGATAGTTAACACATTTCAACATGGATATTTTTTTTTGTTTTAAATGACCATAAAACCACATGTAACAATATTCTGAGAAATTAGATGAAACACTTTCTGATTCCTGTGTGAAACATCGCCACTGGTTTGAAAAGTTTAATACAATAAAATGTAATTTAAGTACTCGCAATGGTCACCTACTGTATGGCACTGTTAATGTGAGTTTAAGCAAACACATTGTCTGACAATCAAGAAAACAGGCATCTTTTTTTTTTCTTATTATTTTCTTTTTTTAAACTTTCATAGCTAAAATCGAACTATGAAGATTGAAAAATAAACATCGTACCTGAAATAAAAAATAAGACTGCTGATTCACAGAAGAACAGGCGAGTAAATACATTAAGCCCACAGCTCTACAGACTACTATTTAAATTTCACACTTCACACATTGGTCTGATTTAAGATTGACAAAATAATAATTCAACTATTATTGCAAAAATTTAAACATCCTTCCAATGTATCATGACAATATCTCTGCAAATACAGTCAAAATGTCAGCTGAACGTTGGCCTTGTTGTTATAGAAGAGACTTTTTCTTTTTAAAATGTCATATGAAAGTATGATGTAAACAAAGAATACAAACTATCAACGTTAGATTTGGGTTATTTAGGGTTTCTGTGTTGGGAATGTGCATCAGAAGCCAAAGTGTTCATCCCACTTTCAAATTATTGTTACTATCAAACCAGCAGCACTGAAATAATTCAATCAATGAACAGATTACTCATTTATTAAGAGAAACCGCCAAACATTTGCTCATTTGTGAGGATTTTTTTTTTTGCTTTATCTGCTTTACATGATAGTAAATTGAATATTTTGTCTACATTTTGAACTAATTTTTGACATTTGTACACAATTAACAGATTAATCAACCTAAAGATCGCCAGATTTACTGATAATAAAAATAATTGTTTGTCGCTGTCCTACAAACCTCTGAATACAGATCATGAAATAAAAAGGTATTCATGTGTGAATACCTTTTTTTAAATCACATATCTATAGCTACAACAAATTAGTACTGTATTATTTTATCATTTGAGTTTTATTATTTAAAGCAGACGTGCCAAACATCTGATGATTGCTGCTTGTTATTTGTGAGTTTTTTTTGTCAGTTTTATATCATTGGAAATTTTATATTTGAAGCACCATTTTACTGTTTTCTAATTTTTTTAACTGAACTGGTTAATCAAAAGATATAGAAGTCATAAATGGCAAATAACTTAAGCAGATTTGTAATAGACTATCTGATTTGGAATGTTTGGGAACCATCTAGTGCTGAAATGATGATAGATTCAATTTCTTTTTAAAGCAAAAATGCCCAAAACATTAACTGTATCAGGCTTTTCTCCAACTGCTTTTTACTTTTTTGTATCATTCAAAATGAAATATCGAAATAAATTAAATGTAAAATATATAATTTACTGTATATAGCATTTTGTATTATTTTCTGACATTTTATTGACTTAACAATTAATTAATGAATCAAAATGTTAAAAAAATAGTCAATAATGAAAATAATCTAAATACTGGGAGTTATTATGTTAAGGCCCTTAAAACATATATTCTGAGATTTCTGTCTGTGTTGTTTTGTCTTGATTTGAAAATGGTGATGTGAGCACCAAGAATAAATTAATTTGAAGAAATCATCTTCGAGTTGCACCTCATCTTATACAGAAGCTAAAACAACTCCTCCTCATCAGAAGTTGAGAATTTGTATTTTCGCCTCTTATTTTATCTCTTTAATGCACCGTTAAAAAAAAAGAAGAAAGAAATCAACTTCAGCTAAATGCCACAATACATCTGCATCTGAAGACTACACACTGTAAATCTAGAACATTTGGCCTTCCTCCATCAGCTGAAAATATCAACTTAATATGAGCGCTTAACAAAAAGATGACAGCATCAGTGGGCCTGTGGTTCCTAGTACCTCTCCTACCCAGACAGCCAGTTTGTCAAGAAAACAATCGCGATTAATTGAAATATTGGTCAAATGAAACATTCTCTGAAATGGTACATATTATTTCTACTTCTGCTCAGAAATGATCTCAGAGGAGCACAACAATGCTACTTCTATTAGCAATTAACAATATGGTAAAAGATCTGACATCTCATAGGTTCAAAGACACATGTTTTCATTTCGACAAGTACCTGTAGCTTACGTGGGCTACTGTTAGTATGTACATGTAGCAGCATAAAACCACCCTAACTGTGATTATCAGACTACAAGATTACCATTCTTATATCTCGCTCCGCAATGGCTGTCGATGTGGATGAGGTGGAATGTGCAGTTTTTGTCGTTTTAATTCTTATTTCTCCTTAAAAAGTTGGATTCTGTTTTTTTCTTTTATTTTTTTTTTTTCAAAGTTTGTCTCCCGACTGTTATCGCTTTATGCCTCTGTCTTATAGTCTTTCTACGAATTCTATTGGCACGTTTGAGTCCATTCATCATACAGTTTGCAATTAAGTTTTGGCACTTAAAATATAAATACAGTCTTTCTTTTTCGGAAATATAATTAAGCACAGTTATAACAGTAACACACCAGTGTCCAGTGATAATTTGAGGTGAAACTTTGGTCTCAGTATTACCAACTGGATTACAAAACGCTGGTCATCACATGGAAAACAGAAATTATTACAATAACAAAGAAAACAAAAAGAATGAATAAATAATTTATAAAATAAATAAATAAATATCTGACTAAGAAGGTCGATAAATAGCCTCACATAAGTCTTCACTGCATGACTTGGCGACATACTTGATTTACCCTTTAACACAGACCATTCACACCTGATTACTAACAAATTATAGATTCAGCACATTTCATGTGAGGTTATAGCTTAATGCCACTATTTGAGGTTGTTGATGTCTCTTTCAAAATATGTAAATAAATCCTATCTACAATGCTGACAAAGATTGAAATATTTGGCCCCTGCTTTTGGTAAAAGGACGTGGTCGAACCTGTGGCTCCAGTGGAGTGGGAGTAGAGACAAAGAGCGCTTCAGTGGCCCAGGGTTAAAAGTGCAATGTGACAAGCGTAAACCACGTGGACTTCCTGCAGGTCTGGGATGATGTGCAGGAGGTATGATCAATGATGATATGCTACTTTTTCCATTGGCTGCATGTGGACAGGTGGGAGCCAAAAGCTCGTTTTAATCCATGTGTGCTACTTTTACGGTCATTCAGTTTAGTATAATTCTCCAAATATCACCATCTCTTATGTTCATTTAATTCTTGTTGGATTGGACGACACCATTCCTAGCATATGATAAAATACAATTCCATAGGATTGTGTGCAAAATGCTCTATAGGCATAATAAAATAACAAATAATGGTCTCTTCAACTAGCCACAATATTAGACTTAGATGCTTGTGATGAGGTATGAATATTGGCCAGTATCTTGGAGGAACCATTAACCTTCATGCCAACAACTGCTCTACTTCTTCTGTAATGAGAGTCAAATTTTTTTGACTCTTGTAGTATTTCCATAAAAACCCACATGGATGTAAAATAAGTAAATGATAGGAACAATAATATTTGAGAGTGGAGATGGGTTTATGAATTAAAATTTGCTAATACAGTATGGCAATGACTGCTTCCAATGAGGTCTCTGCTCTAAGTCATAGCTAAGCATAAAATCATACATATAAATATGATTCTATGCTTATATATAAATATCCATATATCCAGCAAAGTATTTGCAGTAAAAACTGCCAATTTCTCGAGAGGGCTTCACACCACATATCTAATAAATAACACAGAATAAAATGGCAAATTCTCCTCAGAGATTTCTCATTTCCTTTTATATGCACAGATAGGTTTCAGTAAGTTTCTAATTAGGTACCTGTACTGTATTAGTCAGCCCGACAGTTGAATGGATGGATGACAGTGAAGGGTCCAGTGTGCTAAGATGAGGATAAGCCTTCATCTGTCTTCATCGCTCCTCTTCAGTTTGAACACCGTTTACAGAGGCAGGTCTGTGCTGTTGTGGCGAGTCTTTCTGGAAGTTCCATCATCCCTGGGCAGAGCTTTCTGCAGGTTGGACATGGCAGCGGTCTTCTTTAGGTCAATGACTGCGTAGCATTCACTGCGCCGGGGTGCCTGGGGGCCACATTTTTTGGGTGGTAGGCGCTGGTGCTGTGGCTGGGTCTGGGCACCCCCGCTGCTGAGGGCTTGGCAGGGAGGTTCACCCTCTAGGTCCACCTGGATGTAATTCAGCTGCCGCGATGGAGGCATGTGGCCGTGCTCACAGCCTTCAACCCCTGACCTCGATCGTCTGCGGAAATCAAAACTAAATATTCGCCCCCCTCTGTCTGGCTGACATGGCCGTGAATGCGGCGGGCAGGCGTGTCGGAGCCGGGGCGGCTGGACCTGCTCTGTGTTGACATAGTTCTGCAGGGCATCTCTGTGTATGCCCCGGCCATCCTGGTGGTACCCGTTGGGCGTCCCAGGGCCTTCTGAGAACTCATACTCATCAAAGTCTTCCTCCTCTTCTTCGTATTCATCCTCATCCTGTTCATCGTCTTCTTCATCCTGTTCATCATCCCGCTGCAGAGCGCCGTACTCCCACACAGGTGGCAGAGAGGGCAGATTCTCGTAGTTGAGCAGTGCTGTCCGACGATGACCTCCGCCCATGCCCCTCTCGCAGCCGTAGCCCTGCGGGGGGTAGAGACGACGGGCCGTGGGCGTGCGGGTGCAGGAGGGAGTGGGAGTGACTGTCCCCGGTGCTGCTGCTGCTGCTCGAACCCACAGACTGTGACACACTGCTGGGACTCAGCCGCTGCTTCCGGCCGCTCCTCAGACCGTTGATGTTCTCGTACGTGAGTTCGCCGCTCTGGCAGCTGTCCGGGTGCTCGAGCCCCGGGTGCCGGTGCGTGTGATGATGGAAATGGTGATAGGAGTGAGAGTTGCACAGGTGCATGGAGGGCTCGTCTCCCTCCGTCTCTGAGCCTGTTGCACCCTCTACAGGCTGAAGGTTGTGAGGATTGTGCCCGTGCCTCTCCCTCTCTCTCTCCCTCTCTCTCTCCAGCAGATGGCGTTGTGCTGGAGTGGGGCCCAGCATGAATTTGACCTCCTGCGAGGACGGCTGTAAAAACACCTGAGGATCATTATGCTCCTCCAGGGGACAGCAGCGCAGGTTGGACTGCGGATTTCCTTGGCCCCCGATGGGCATGGCTCCCCGTGTAGTTTCAGGGAAAGTGCTGGGCCGCACCTCGGGCAGGGAGTGCACACAGTGACGCATAGAGAGATCCCCCTCCATACTAACAGTATTTACATAGGTGTGGGTCTGTCAGATAAAATAAAAGCAGGGTCAAATTGTGAATAAGAACAGCTACAGTGAACTATAAAAAGGAGCAAGGATAGGTCTTACCTGGTCTTCCAAACCCATGAGGCTATGTCCACGATCATCAGCAAGAGAGGGTTGAGAGGAATCACCTCTGATTGGATAACCAGGGTACCCATTGGGGAAAGCCGGGACAGGGAACGCTGGAGCTGCAAACACATTGATGTGACAATATAAAGACACAGGTGGAGCCCCGATTCAGTCAGCTGATGATGTGTTATAAATAGTATCAAGCTTTAAAAACAGAAAAGGGAATCTTCCAATCAATGCATTTTGTTCTCTACACTCCAGTTCTTTTAATTTCAAGTTTGAATTACTCGATTTGTAGTACAATTCAAATGTTTTTGGTTTATAACTATAGCTTAAGCTTAACTTGGCTCCAAAGATTGTGTTCATTGCGGTTAAGACCAAGTAAAAAAAGTCCATTAAAATTTTTTAACGTGAAGTAAGTTCTCAGCCATCGTGCCTCTAGTCATATATGCCAAGGATGCAAGAATGTAATAACAATAACGATCATGTTCTTGGAGAAAATAAAAGCCACATTTTGATGCTCATTTTAGAACATCATCACATCACAACAATCAGTCAAATAATTCACCCACTTTACTTTATTAGGGATGAACTGTCATACATGAGAGAGGCATGGAAGAGCCTCTGTCCTCTTTACACTGCTTAAAAGTCTTTCTTCCAGACAGAAATTTGGGACAAATCACAAGTATATCTCAGTGAAACCTAAAAGGGGTTTTCTTGTCAGTGTCAGACTGACTGCAGTAGAGAACTTTGTATACAGAGAAAAAAAAAACTTCTCAACAAATAGGTTTAGCGCACGTTTCTGCACAGAGAGCTGTCAGCATAAACAATTCTCATATTCCTGAAAAGGAACTACAAGGGGGGGACTATGTAATGTATAATTGCTAGACTCTCTCAGTAGCTCAAATTCAAACAGCTGCACACTTTATATAATAGCAGCTAGCTAACAAAAGCTAACTGCTAGCTAGCTAACATAAACAAGATTGAACTGCGAAGTAATGGAACAAACAAAATGCAGTCTGGTTACAGTTGTAAATGTGTTTGATTTTATTCAGATGTGGAAGTAAAGAAAAATGTCTGACACATCCTTAAGTATGTGTGTGTGTCTGTGTGTGTGTGTATGTATGTGTGTATGTGTGTACATTATAAACAGAGAAACGGATCGGCCAAATATTTTAATTAACTATCCAGTGGTATCATTAAGTCAACTGGTTAAATCAAACTCAGTGTATAGGCCTATAAAGAGGCATTTCAGACAAAAGTCACTAAGGCAAAAAGCATATGTAATATTGCAAACAGTGTTACACATAAATTAACATTATCTGATTTGAAAAACTATGATGGTTTGATTTCATTCAACCTTTTGTGTGCGTGTGTCTTATTTTTGTGTTCTTTAAAAAAGTACTTTTAGTGTTAACATGAACTTGTGCTGTGAACTATATTATATTTTTTCTATTTGAGAGTTTAAATATCATTATATTATTTAAATTATTAGCTATGTTAACAATGAAGGGGGATATTATATATATTGAAGGGGACAATTCCCAAGAATATCCGCCCATGGCAGCATGGACACGAGCTCTAACACACTGACTTTCTATTATCTGTAACAATCTTCTTGAAAGATAGAAAACCTGGTTTAGCCAGATGACGAAAGGATGTAATATCAAGGTACAATATTGCAAGTTTAATCACTAAACTATTCAACTGGTCTCCTTTATGGAGATATAAAATTGCTTTAGAGTGCAATATGTCACTTGACTCCTTTAAATAGTTTGTAGACTGTCAGAGCTGGAGGGGGCATCGCTCATTTATTCATATTTAGGAAATAAAACACTTCTAATGTGCCAGTGTTAGTGTTATTTGTTTATCATAACCATTTTAACTTTATGTCCAATATTATTATAGTCATTACCACAGCATTATCTCAATAGAAATATGTTACAAGAGCAACTGAAGTATTCAGAATTACATGATAAAGTCATGCTTTCGTTCAAATAGTCAGTTAAAAAACTATATCTCAACAATTGAGGATCACACACACTATGTCAGATTGTAAATTGTAAATGGCATTTAAATAGCTCTTTTTTTTAATCCAAAGCGCTTTGCAATTTGCCTTCATTCAAACACAAGACACTATGCGAGGTTCCTTTCCCTAACCCAAATTGTAAAGTAACGTTGATTTGCTGCCTGGTAACCATGGTTACAATTTAAATGCCACTTATAGATGAATTTTGTATTAAACAAATACCCATTTTCTGAACATGCAAGATTTATCGTGGTTGTGTTTTGAAGGAGGAAGCTAATTCAACAAACACATTGCTGGACTCGGTCGAGACCAACTAGAATATTTGGCGAAACCAATAGCCAAGTACGAGACAAGTCTGAGTGCAAATATTAATGAGTCAAAGACAAGTCAGAGACAACAGAAAGACTTCTACAGCACTGCCGCCAACCCAGTGATTAGTGGACGACCTGCTCTATCTCCTGAGCCACAATAAAACTAATCAACAACGATACAACATTCTGAGGACATTAGAGACATAATATATAATGGTCACATAAAAGTCTACGTCTGCAGGCTGTGTTTCCACTTCACTTGGTGTTATTTGGATACCTTTGTATCTGTGACTCACTAGGTTCAATTTAACCTGTGGCTATTAATAGCTTATAAATTCTGCTAAATTTACTGCTGTATTACTGCATGCAAGTTTTACAATTATAAGTGTATAATTAGGACTCTTACTTTTTGTGTGTGTGTGTGTGTGTGTGTGTGTGTGTGTGTGTGTGGTGGTGTGACTCACTGTTGGGAGTCTGTGGTGTGCGAGACATCTCCATCTCTGGTGTGTGACCACTGCGACTCATCATCATCGACTCTTCCACCACGTTGATGCTGTTACATTGCATCAGCTCCTGAAGCAGATTGAAGATCTCTTCTGCTCGGGAGCACTTAAATGCAAAGATTCCTAATCAAACAAGCAAAGTAACAACATTGTTAGGCTACAATTAGTCACCAATAACAAAATGAAAAGAAAACTAACTCCATGGTTGAGGGACAGATGAATGACTGACAATTTGACTTGAGGTTTATAAAGTTATTTGCTCTGACTAAACATTTAACATCTTTTCCAGTAACACTACACTGGTGAGTAATATAATATATATGTTAAGTGATGTGCAAGTTTTTTGTCTTTTTCCCTCCCAGTCGGTAAAAAAAAAAAAGGGTGTGTATGCACAGCGTACATACTGTATGTGTGCAGAGGATGATGTCACACCCACAGGTGTCATTAATTTGGTATTATGCTCCTGACCTGAGCATGATAGTCATACGGTTATAAATTCATTGAAACGAAACATCATTCCTTTCTTTCTCTTTCACTTCTCCGTGTTTCAAGGGGCCAGCATCTATCAGGACTGCTTGTCGAATGGTCGAATAGCTTCGCCGACAACCGACACTCACACCCACTTCACGCAGCGATTAGCCAGCTAGGTCATTGCCCAACGCTAGGTCCCAACCCTTTATGACAGCAGGCTGACAGCTGTTCAGCTCCAGTTGGTAAGACGTGTGCTCCGACCATGTTGAAATTAAAAGGGTGATCCCAGATGCTGGGTGCTTATCTTTCACAATAAAACAAAACTAATGACATTAACAAGCGCTGTACATTCACAGTACCAGGATCCTGAAACTGGAGCAGCTAAATGAAATTCATTAATTTTATTATATACACCTGTGCTTTTCCTGCTGTGACATGTCAAAATGTCTGAAAAAAGCCTAGTAAGCAACGCCATACGAATGGTTAAAACAGTATAACATATAAAGTGGTAGATGATAATATGTATTGAAAACAACATCATCATGACTCTACAGCGGTGTTACTGAGGAGGGACACAGAAAATGCTGCTTACCCTGCCCAGTCTGACAGCGACGACCGCTCTCAAAGGAAAACAGGTTTGAGTCGTAGCCGTAGCGTCGCAGGCAGAGATACGGCCACCGGATGGCATCCCTCTTACGTGTGTGAAGAATGAGCTCGGTCTGGGTGAGCTCCATGATCCCAGATCCCAGCTCGTTGCCCTCATCATCCACATTGGTGACCTGGGACCAGGAGAAAACATATAATATGAAGATTATTGCCAATAAAATGTAAAATGTATTTATTTTGTTACAGCATAATGTAACATGGAAGCAAATAATACAAGCTGTGCTGTTATAAAGGAGATTACCAGACATAGAAATGTGATAAATTTAAAGTTATTTTGTTTTTATTGACCTTAAATTTGGTGAGATGGTTGTCTCGGATGGGGTCTCTGTACAGACAGCTCCAACAGCTCCCCATAGCTTCAGCAGGCCAGCTGAAACCTGTCGTAGAAACAAACATCACCCTTTTGCATTAACAACATGATGCTGAACGTCCACTTCAGGCAACAGGTGCAGACACTTACTCAGTCCAGGCCATCAGTGTAAAGGGATTCACGTCTCAATCCCAGGATCTTCGACTGGGCATCGTCGTCACAAGCCTATTGGTTTGCTGGACTGACATCTTCAAGAAAAGCATGATGTTCTCACCCCTGAAACAGTGAACAACAGCCAGGATTATAAAAACGTGTTAGTCAAAGTTAGTCAAGCAAATATAAAATATCCTCTCTGCTTTGTGTTTAGCAGAGATGTAGTTTGACTCGGGGCATCTTGGTGGTCAAAGGATGAAAGACACTGAACCTGTTGCATGTCATCCCTCCTCCTCCTCCCCCTCCCTTCATTTCCTCTCTACTATCCACTGTCAAAGGCTTTAAAATCATTATCAAACATTTCTCATTACTATTTAACTATTTAGCAACAAAGTTACAGTAACAGTTGAGCTTCTCCCTGTCCGTCAACACTGTGAAATATCTCCTATGTGTAACTAAATAATGAAGCAAATATCTTCATTCCCTGATGCACTGATTCCACTCGCTGACACTGACTTTACTTAGCAGGCTGTGTGTATCAACCACGACATAACCCACATTAAATACAGTTTATTATTCAAAAATGTACTTCTTTCTTTCTTTCTTTCTTTCTTTCTTTCAAAGTGGGCTGCTGACTTAGTTTTAGTCCCAAAACAATCTACATGCTTGCTATAAATAAAAACGGTCCAAATAGTATCAGTAGCAAACAACCTGAGTTCAGTATCAGGAGAGAAAAAGAAGGACCGGTCTCTCTCTAGTTCAAAAGATAGTAAAAACTGAGATTATTTTGTTGCACATCTCTTATGTGCAGTCACAAATAATCCCGACAAAAAAAGAGAAATTCCGCAAATGATTATAAGAATAATCTATCATTTAAAAAAAAAAAGCACTACAGTGAGTTTTCTGTAAAGTTATTACAGGAAATCACAAACCAAACTAAACATCCATTTACGCCAGCTGTGCATCTAAAACACTGAACAAATACACAAAACAATCTTACACCTCTGTGATTTTGAGCTCTAGACTGCATGTAGCACTGGACAATACACAGACATCACCGCTATCCAGTGGGCTTCTTGTGCTCACATCTGCACCAGTGATCATCCTGTGATTCCTGCTCCTGATTCCTCACCTCTCACACAGCCTCCACACACATCTCACATCAACACCGCATTATGTGTGCTCTAACCTGGGCCTCCACATCTGACTGGAGATGCCAGGCTGGACTCACACACACACACTCTCACTCTCTCTCTCTCTCTCTCACACACACACACACATATATAAATAAATACACACACACACACACACACACACACACACACACACACAGCAACCCTGAGTCAATGCGAGCAGGGCTAAAGAGCTCGGCTACGTTACACACTAACCACAGCCTGTGACTGAATGGGCTTTCCCCTCCACATCTGGGCTATTTACAGCAAGAAAACCACAGCTTTTTTTTTTTTTTTCTTTTTAGGGCTCAATTAGCCAAGCCGACGCAGAGCCCAGAGCCCCCCCAAAAAAACAAGCCGACAAGCGAGGCTTCATCTGCCCCCCATCAATGTGCAGAGAGCTCGGCACAGCCATGCTACAATGAAACCAGCACACTGACACTAAATGCACAACGACACAGTTCAATGCCCATTTGTTTCTCATTGGTGTGAGGATACAATAGCGTGAGCACATAGCAGTCAACGGGTAAGCGATGGTTTTGCTACTCACATGTCTGGCACGGATTTTTTTTTTTTTTTATTAGCCCCCTTTAATGCGAAATAAGCATTGAAACTGCGATTAGTTATCGGCGGCTGCTGCTGCTGCTGGTAGCGGGATGTGCCACTTGCACGGCAGAGACGCGAGTAAAAGATGCAGTGAGAGCAGTAAAAAAAAAAAAAAATGTTGTTATTTTTTTCCTCCTATTACGCCCCCCTACTGCAGCACGGGCCTCTGCCTGTATGACATTTCCAAAGCAGCTGGGGTGAGAGTTCACCGCCAGACAACGAGGCTGAGAGGAGCGACAAGAAGGTAAGAAACGCTGGAGGACCACAGAGGAAAGGTGTGCCTGGCTGACGGAGTGGGGAGGAGGGGCAAACAAAAGAAATGAATAAAAACCCCCACTGAACTGAGAGGAAAGAGCATCTCTAGCTCTAATGTTTACTTTATGAGTGTATCATTAAAGTACCCCTCTAGTAAAAACATTTTTTTTTGCTTTTTTTTTTTTTTTTTTTTTTTTTACTTCTTTTGGATGTTTGACCTTCACTCCACTGTATATGTGCACAGTTTGACACTAAAAAGCTGTTTTTATATTCATATGTTAAATGTGGGAAAGTCTGTCTGTGCTCATCTGTCTACAGGTAATAAAACCCACCTTCCAGCAGTTCAATAATAATAATAATAATAATTTTAAATCACTTCTTAAAAACCCATTTTTATAGACTTGCCTCTGTGTGATGTCGTCTTTTTTTACTTTATTCTATTTTATTCCATTGTTTATTTTATTTCTTATCTTTGTATTATATTTGTATGGCTTCTGTTCTGCTCTTATTATTATTGTATTTTGGTATTCTTTATTTTTATATTTGATGGCTCATGTCTGACCACCACAGGTTCTCCTTTTTTAACAGTTATTAGATATTTTTGGAATATCAGCTCAGAGATCTTTCCTCCTATCACAAGAATTAAAATATATATATTAAAACACAAATTCAAAATCAACACCACCTTTACAGCGCAGTGGAAATCTAATTAAAGAGTAGCCTTTAACCCCACCTGGAAAGTTAATACTGACCTACATTGACGCCTGTGTTTGGTGTGGTTAAAGGTGCACACACTTCAGACACACCTAGAGGTTCTGGTGTTTCATACTGAATATATATGTATTTGTGTTGTAATGTTTGACAAGGTATATATGTGTCTATTTGAGATGTCAAATTAATCCAATGAGTGTAGCTTGTATATATTATGTGTTAATTATGTGATACCAGTGGCAACATGCTGGCACTGTTGGTAGCTGTTTGTTTGTTTTCTCATAGAAAAAAATGGCCATTGGTCTCTTTGAAAAGCTGAAACAGATCCTGATAAAGCTATTTATTTGATTGTTTCATGTTTGTTTTTATAGGGGCAAGTAAATAGCATGGTCCAGTACCACACAACAGCATCTAGAAGGTAGTTTGAAATGCCTTCAGAGAAATACACAAAACTCAATTAAATACATACAAAGCAGCATAAAAATACCATAAACTTCAATGATGAGCACCACATCATTCATGACTACATTGTGGATGTCTCTTTAAAAGTTTAAATATTATTTTAGTTGTGTGGTTAACAAGTTCACATGATCCCCATGAACAGAAAATGGCATCTACCCAAATGGGAATTTATAAAAGGGGTTCCTACAGTTCCCAGTACATAGAGAAGTAGGTGGACCCTAGGGGCCTCTAGTTATTTATTGATGGTATTTATGGATACGTTTTAATAAAAGCAAATTTAATGAAATTATCAAAACTTTTTTCAAAAAAGCTTTTATCAGCTTTCAATAAAAAATAAATAAATAACAGCATGACTATATCCTCTTAAGAAGGTTGATTGTTGTAGAAGATGCCTGTGTCAGGATGTTTTGCACCAACTTGAATGCGAAAAGATACTTGAATGCGTAAAACTATGTGCACTGCCTCTAATGACTCAAAGTCTGCTTTAGCAACCGGGAAACATTTTTTACGTGTTTTTCGTGTTTTTCAAGTTTTACCAGCCGAGCATGCTTAGCTTAGCTTTTCGTGCTGAAAGTTAACAGCCAACCCCAAACTATGAGGAAGGCAGGGGCGGGAACCATCTTGACGCTTTTGTAGTCTTTGCTGTCGCCTATCCGGTCACGTATCCAGCTGTGTGTGTGTGTGTGTGTGTGTGTGTGTGTGTGTGTGTGTGTGTGTGTGTTTTGTAAGCAGCAGCGAGGAAATATGTAATAACTGACGGAGCAGGAAGTAAGTCAGCGTGTGTATTTAGTGACCTTTGGACTTTATATACAACATTTCTATCTAGCTAACCTAAATACTCCACCAACCGTCAGTCACCGCTCTTCACTTTGTCCTGGCGACCAATCGTTGCTAAGCACGCTGCGACGTCACAGTGTTTGGCTGTGAGTGTGTGAGTGTGTGCGGACGGCGCAGGGAGTGACCGCACTGATAAGACAAACCCAGCCCGTTTAACAAACTTATATCACAGTACAGCAGCATGTCTGGACACTTCGCTCTGGGTGTGTAAGCATTTTTAGTCCGCTCAGACAACACACACATACTGTATACACATCTCTTAACGTTACCTTGCGGAGGAGCCGACAACTGAGTGAGAGAGGTGAGTAACGTGTGACGGCTTTGACCTAACGTCAGCTGCGGTATAGTGGCAGTAGAATTAGCTTTATCGGTTAACATTGAGCTGTCGTAACTTTGAGAGCTAGCGTTAAAGTGCTAAATTAGTCCTACAGTAAGTGGGGCCAGAAGGTGTAAAAAAACATAAAGCACAGACGAGACAATTTAGCTTAAAATTAGCACGATGCTGTGCTGCTAAATTGTTTTATTATAATGTTTATTGTGCAAACCGCCGGGGGCGCGTGACTGTGTGACGTTTTGCAATACTAACGGTTTTGTAACGTTTATAAACAACGGTTTTCATGCCTTAGTTAACACAGTTAAAGCTGACGTTACACTTTTAACACAGTTATTGGTTGTTATCAGGAAGACGGCATGGAAATCATGAACTTCCTAAAATGTCTCTCTGAAATACAGCCCGACCAACAATGAGGCAGATACCAATATTAATGTTAGAGTCTGAAGTGGATCCACTAAATGTGCCAGTACCCTAATTCAGTACAACCCTCATTCTTATTTTTATCCATCATAACAAAGATATTTTCAGTGCTGTTTTCTTAGTGTGTGTGTGTGTGTGTGTGAGACATTTACACACACACACACACACACACACACACACACACACACACACATACACACACACAGTATTTAAAAAACACTGGGTTTTTTAAATACTGACCAGTCCAGACCTTAGTGGCTTCAGTGGTGAGTACGGCCATCCTTCCCAGAGTTGGCAGTACTCAATAAGAAGTAAGGGTACTCATGTGGACAAAAATCAGAAGAGCTGGTACTCTGGTACTGGTAGGTACTGGCCCATTTCAGGCACTGGTTTGAGTGTTTGAAGAGGCTATAATCAATAGTGGGGGTCTAGTAGTGATGACTCCACAGAAAACTATAACATGACTCAGCAGTTCTCCTCTGCTTTGTGTAGCTTTAAACTGTCTTTTATAGGGATGCACAATTATTATTGGGGCGACACTATTGGGGGCTTCATGCTCTATGAAAGCCTAAGTATGTTTGTGAAGTTTTTCGATGAACTTTAGATCTGTTGTCTGTTTTTGTTGCGTTAACAAAAGTGACGTTAGTTAGATTTGGTTGGAACAGAGCTATGGGATATCCAATTATCCATCTTTGCTCTCTACATCTTAGCCTGTGTGTAAAAAGGTTATGAACTTTCTTTTACAAAATACAAATATGTCAAACTGTTGGTAATCTTATGGGGATCAGAAATGAGAAGCAGGTAATTGTCAGTAATTGTATTGGCTGAAAGAAATCCATATTGTGCATTTGTAGTCTTTTAGCTCATTGTTTTTGAGGGCAGATATTTTAAGTGAAAAGGCTCTAAAAACCAGCACTAAAATAAGTTTGTAGTACTCGAACGTTTTCAGTACTCAGTGTTACGTACCCATTCTGATCATATCCAAAAAAAAGTACTGAGGTGTGATACCCAGTTGACTTTAACAGCTTTGATGTGCCCTCCTCTTATCTCAGATCATGTGGCTGCCCATGCTTGGAATGACCGCCCTGCCACACCTGGGTGGGCTCTATGGCGGTTACGTCACCCGCAGAGAGGTGAAGACCTGGTACCCAACCCTGAAGAAACCATCTTGGCGCCCACCAAATGCAGCATTCCCTGTGGTGTGGACCTGTCTGTATACAGGCATGGGGTGAGCATCATCCTGACTGCAGCATTTGTAGCATCTTGTCTGTGACACAGCCTCCTTCTAAATGATAATAATTGTGTTATGTAGGTACGGCTCCTACCTGGTGTGGAAAGAGCTGGGAGGTTTCAAAGAGGATGCACTGGTTCCACTGGGACTTTATGGGCTGCAGCTTGCTCTCAACTGGACCTGGACTCCTATCTTCTTTGGTGCACACAAGCTGAAATTGGTAAGTTTAACACACAAACTTTTTATATATCATAAAATATCCTACATCTGTGTCTTTATATAACTTGTAACACTCTCGCTTTGCCCAATTTAGGCACTCATGGAGATTATCCTGCTCACTGGGACTGTCGGAGCCACAATGGTGTCTTGGTATCCCATCAGCCGCACTGCCACTCTGCTTATGGCACCCTACCTGTCCTGGCTGTGCCTCGCCACCTGTCTCAACTACAGCATATGGAGAGACAACCCTGAGAAGAAAGAAGAGTAGGAGACAGTTCTGTGTGCTTTGAAACAAACTACTTAGATTTCGAATCGTTTGAACTGAACTGATATCTGAGGTTTAATACTAATATACATAACAATCAATATCTGCAAATGTGTTGACCAACAATTACAATAAACAAATCAGAAGTTGAATCTTTGACTTTGTACAACCTGCCTCTGATCTACCGTTTTAATAGTTTATTAACCAAATGGATCTGATGTGCATTCATTCAAAGCTCTTAAAAACTTGCCAGTCTGTCATCCGTTGTTGTTTGCTGTGTGAAGCCACTTTTATTTGCTTTTTTTTAATATAAAGAATGGCACGTGTGCATTTATTATGAAGAGTGCTGTTGTAGTTTCTGCTATAACTAAAATTAAAATAAAGATTTTTATACCATGTATCACCATAGTGAGTCTATTTATTTAGTCACAGCAACCCACTAACTCAGTTTTTAAAGCCGTAACATAACTTGAATAAAAATGTATCTAATAAGTTATGTGCTGTGAGGCATACAGATTATATTTGTGGGTAAAGGAGAACACTGGTACTGGATTGGTATCAGAATTGGTATTGGGAAAGAGAAAGTTGGATTGGTGAAAACGTTTAAAGTAGATCTGGTTCTAAATTTAAAATGGATGAATTTTATTAAATTATAAGATACGTGTGCCAGTTTTCTTCATTTGAGTTAATTCAGTTGTTCATGAGAAAATAATGTAAATTTACAAGAACATCCTATGTTTAGAAATTCTTTTAAAAAAAAGACCAAAAACTACTACCTATCACCTTGTCCTATGCCGTGGCTTAAAATTAAAAACACTTTCTCAAGACAAACTAACAAACAGACAGTGGAGGTAAATATTATCTTGTAATTAATAAGTATATTTTAAATATATTAAGTGTAATTTATGTTTGCGACAGGAATAACCCTCCTTAAACACCCTTCTTTATATTTTGTTGTCAAAGCTACCGGATACACAATAAACATATGCAGAGTTAAAACCGTCTATTACAGTTGATCATAAAAATAACACAACGGTCCATAAAGATACCAACAATAAGCTTTATTTCTATACATGCAACAAGAAAGAAAAGAAAGGAAAGAAAGAGACCAAAAAGTTATTTTTCAGGGGCTTTCTCTGGAACGTCTTCTGGTGATTTGGAGAATCTCTCCATTAACGTCTTCCACAAACCCTTTTTTTCATCGTCCATCTGTTGCACACTCCCTGTACAAAAACAACAACAGATGACTGTAACAAAAGTGTGTTTTCATAAATAGTCATGAGCATAAATGTGATTGATTGCGGGTCCAAACCTGACAAAAGGAGTTTACACTCTTCCACTGTAACTCCAGTAAAGCTTGTGTCTCTCACACGAGGAAACTGTGACCAAACACAGAGACAAGACGTGTTTGCATTAAAGATGTTAAAGTTCAAGACTGGAATACACTCATGAAATAGCAGAGTGAATACATTGTTTGGAGAAATACATTTATACTCATTTTTTGCATGTTTAAAGCTCAAGGGAAAAGTGTCAAAGCATGTGAGTTATGTGGATATATAGTGTACTTACTCGTTGTCGGTATATGTTTCCATTAATACGGGCCAAACTTTCATACATCTGGTCACACTTCTCTGGATCGGAGATCTAGTGGTAAAAACATATGAATTGGACAAATGTCAAATGCTAAGAGCACAAATTCTGATGAACAATGTGAACGCTTGCATAAGATAACAGATTACAATTGAAAAATACAACTAACGATTTTTTTACTACTCACATTTTATAAGAGAATACAACTCTAGTACATTATAAAAGTGGAAATAGATGAAAAGTACCATAAAAAAAAAAGCAGAAAACTAAATTATAATTCTAATCGCTCAAGGTAGAATAATCTTTTTCTCTTTGAAAGATGAATCTGACTGCCAAAAACTCACTTTATCATCATATTTTAAACAAAAAAATATATTTTTAGATACAAATATTAACCTAAAAAGTACCTACAAACTATAAGCTGACCAACACATTGGCAGGATGATAATATCGGCCAATTGTAACTTATTACAGCAATATTTATACAGAACTTAAAGTATATTTTTATTTATATGTTTGAAAAGAACAACAGTCAGTATCAGATACTTTAAAAACTCAATCATGGACATTAGTATTGACTTAATAAATCAACATTTTTCTCTGATATGTAACGTTAGTGAAGTATTCAGTAAAGTAAACAGCAGCTGTACTAACTGGACCAACAGGATGACAACTCTGCCTCTGGCTGCCTTTCCAAGCTGGTTTGTCAAAGGTAACGTTATGTGATATAAAGATACAAACTCATAAACATTAGCTCCTCTAACGCTAAATGTCTGACAGTCAATGTTCTCAGTGGATCCTCCGCAGGTATCGACAACCAGGGCAGACAAGGTCGACGGCTGCTGTTAGCTTAGCTCGGCGGTTACCCTACCTGTGTGTTTTCACCCTCGCGGAAGGCTGAAGCGACTCTCTGCCCCAGAAACGTTCCCAAGTCTCGGCCCTTCTTGTACTCGTCCCGCGGCCATTCCTCGCACAGCTTCAGGAACCGACGGTACCTGGTAGCAGACATCTTTCGGACATGTAACACTAAACCGAGGACGTCTGAAGTTTGAGCTTTATCGCCCACCGTGCTTGTGTTACATCTAAACTCTTCCTCCTCCTCCTCCTCCTCCTCCTGCGGTCTGTTCCTCCTCGTTGCTGCTGCTGTCGTTAACGCCGCACACACTTTAGCAAGATGAGCGGATCAGACGCCAAAAAGGGCTCTTCCACCGGGGTGGTGGAGTGGATCAGTTCGGCCTGTCGGTTTGCGACAGACAGAAACGACTTCAGAAGGTGAGCTGGACGAAATAATGAAGTTAAAAGTGTTTGAACTGTTAGCTGTTAGCCACGTAGCTAACGTTAGCTCACACTGCGAGATTTGCCCTTGCCTCGTTCGAGTCTCTCTTGGCTTTCTGGGAGAGTCAGACCATGTTGTCACTGTCAAAAGCTGCATTACCAACCGGGCAAAGTGGGCAGCTGCCCAGGGGGACCCCTGAAGTCTCCACGGCCTGCTGTATGTGAGCTGGTAGTTTAGTTTATAACTCACTCGGGGAAATTGCAGCTTTACAGTGATGCGTTCACTGACACGACGTTTTGGGGTCCAGCTTTATTTACCTGGCTCCGGGACCTGGTCTTGAAGAGGGTCCTCTGGCCAAATGTAGTTTCAGAACATGAATTGTTTCGGTTTTGTGATAATATTGTGAATATAAATGGCTCATTGCAGGTAGTTTTTGGTGCACATATCATGCAATAAGTCACAAGAAATTGTAATACAGAGTTGAGGTCATTTGCAAATATAATTTTTAAACAGCCAAATGGTTTGTCAAATTTCTTTGTCACATAAAAAAACCAATGGATCCTCATTGACAATGTTGGGAGATTCTTGTGGCCCAGTGGTTGTGTGACTCTATTTCTCCACCCAGTTTCTGTCTGTGTCTACTGTGTCACTGTAGTAAATGTAAATATCATCTGATATCATTATAGGATATATAGTCAGGCTATTATATTTTGAAATGAATGTATTTAATCAAATGACCATGCAGCACACCTGCACCAGCATAGAGAACTGTGCACAATGCACAGACAGTGGAAGAGGTTGATCTATGGTCACTGTGTAGTGCTGTCATATTTTTATTATCAGCTTTTGGTGCTGTCTTGTTATAATAAATCATCACATGTCAAATCTTTCTTTTTTCCCAGGAATCTTCTGGTCAACCTGGGCTTGTTTGCAGCTGGTGTTTGGGTTGCAAGAAATCTCTCAGATTTTGACCTGATGTCTCCTCAGCCTGTGACATAACCTGGTCAAAATACGGCCACCGCCAAAGCCAGGATGATGGTGAGACCCTCCTCTTCACTAGAGCCAGAGGATGCTGCTTTTACAAGCTTTTACATTCAGTTTTTATGACTATTTATTGGTTAAACTATGTGTGTTATGCTAACGTTATTTATCATACTTTACAAACATACATAGACTGATGCAGAGGTTACAAATTATTTTAAGAGGTGTATATATTTGTGATTGACTTGATCTGTTTGTTCCTTCTAGGTGTCTTGGACCAACAAAGAAAAAACAAGGGACATGAATTTTGGGTCATAACACATTTATGACTTGTTACACTTTGAAAATGAATCATCTTGTTGACCTGAATTATCTTCACTTTTCTGTAGAATAACTTGTTTCATGTCAGTAGGTGGCCTGAAGAGAAATAATTACATTCATTCAGCTGTTCTGTTCTTGTTGTTGACCCATATAATAGCTTTATTTAATTTTAAATCCTCATTACATGTCTAGTCACTGAAGGGTATTGTTTTGGTACAATTTTCTATTTGAATCGCGTGTCGTGTGATTCCTGCAGCCATGTCCACTCAGGAGCTCTTTGTTGCTGCAGCTCGTAAATGTCTGTCGGCTGGTAGAAAATCTCTGTCTGTCCCTCAGAGTCTGGACCTGGCTGCTCAGGTCTCGGCTGTTGATCTGGGACTGAAACCGGCTTTATTGTACGACAGCAACGGCGCCAGCGCAGATCAGGTGCAGCGGTATTTGAGCTCTTTGCAGTCCTCCCAGCTTGTGTCTGAATCACTTCTCACGCTGGATTTAAATGGAAACGCTCTCATAGTCAATCCAGTTACGGTCAGATCAAACGTAGAGCAGCTGTGTCGCGGTAGCAACGTGGCTGTAATTAATGTCTGCCACTTGCTGGACAAACCCACCATCACTGACCCGCTCGGAGGAGAACTGAAGAGCATGATACACGATTTACTGCATCTCCTGAGAGGGTTGGACCAACTGAAGGAGGCTGAGAAACCTCATTATGTTGGAGAGAAATCTGAGGAATGGAACCTGTGCACAGTGTTTGGTCTTTTATTGGGTTACCCCGTCACTTACTGGTTCGATCAGACCAAGAGCTTCGAAAACTGCCTGTCTATGACTCCCCTGATGGTCACCACAGCTTCTGCAACATGGCAGGCGGAGACCACAGGTCACAGATGTTGTCTGTACTCCTTCAGTGTTCCAGCTGTTCTGCTTCAAGAGATGCAGTCCAACCTGGAAAACTGGAGGTTTTGTTTACAACAGAAATTTCAGCAGCAAAATGTCCTAAAAGATCTTAAAGTTTGTCAGTCCGCGGTCACTCTGCCCTCCGTCTGTTTGTAGAATATGTGTGTTTACTTTGTAACTACATTAAAATGTGTCAAAACAGCTGTTTATTTCTGTGAATGTGCAGTGGTATTCAAACTCAGTGGCAGACTACTTTCAAAAGAGTTACTTTCTACAAAGTGAGTAGTGTTTAAATTTTAGTGTATAAAATCTTGTACTCCAAGTAATAAACTGTATGAGGACAAATGTGATCTTACACTTGAATCTGAGGTAATTTATTTAATCACAGAACAAAACTGATTTGAAATTGGAATCCAGTCTAAATTAATACGATTAAAACTCAATAGTAGTACAATGAGCTCCACAAAATTAATTTAAGTACTGTTACATTTTACCAACAAAACAATTTAATAACAATTTTTGTGCATTTTGAGATGGCATAACGGGAAAACCACAGGTGTACTTAATATTAATGCCTCTGTTGTTTTTGGTTGTACCAGTTCCAGGACAAAACTATATCTGTTCTGTTTAACAATACAACGCACAGAGGAAATGAAGGAACTGTTGATTGGCAGTGACACTCCCAACTCATTGACACGCAGTAGTGACTTTCATCACATAATGTCCTGTTACTGTAACAGTGCACTGGTTTAGCTAGGTTGGAGCCATCAATAATGTTATTAGTTCCACTTTCCTGCTATGAGTAGTCCCATTTCTTGCTGTAAAAAGGTCTATTGTACAGTAGTAAGCAGAATTAATTAAGTCTGAATCCTCTATCGCCACCCGTGGAGCACCAAGTCGGAGGTTAATTGATAATGTTTGGTGTGAGGGAACCAATTACTCATATTATTACAAGTCATTGAGTTAATTCATTACTGACAGAGAGGACGGCAGAATGTAAATATTGTTTGGTTTAATGTACATTTATCGACACATCTACAAGTTAATGTATAAAGTTATTTAATGCTTTGAAATCCTTTATTTTAAATAATGTACATCATAAAATAATGTGGGTTTTTTTGTCATTTCAAACATTTGCATCAGTTTTACATAAAACAAGATCAACTGCTTGACCGTTTGCTGGAAAGACTTCTGGAGTTTGTAGTCTCATGTTACTTGTATAGTTAAACATTGTTTAACAAATCAAGAAAAGGTCCATCCTACTGACTATGTTAGCATTTAAAATGTATACTTATCAACAATCTCAGCACCATTATATGAAAACATGAGATTAATCCATTCCAGGACAGCACAAATCCTTTAAAACCAGCTGATTGCTTTATATTCTGTATAATCTCTTGAATTAGTTTCCAAAATGTTTTTAAACCCTCTTGTGTCTTCCCAACTACGTGATTTTTAACAGCTTGCACTTCCACAAACATACTGTAGTTTAGTTTCACAAACCAATTTTTCAATATAATACAGTGTCTCTACGCAATAACGCAACAGTGAAAAGAGACAAACCATCTGGCTCGCTCCTCATTTCAGCTTCGCGGTTGTCATTTCACAGCCTGCAGCTTTCAGACAGTGAAACATGCATCCTGTATCACCCACTGCACATATTCTATGATATCAAAACCCACAGCAGCAATGACAAATACAGTACAGCTTGAGTCTGTATGCTTCTCCTGGCAGAGTAGATGTCTCTCAGTTTTTGTTGGACCAAGATATTGATCCTCTGACATCAACCTGTTGTGTGCAGAGAAGCTGAACTTCCAGGACAGGCACACTTTTTTTTTTTCCCTATTTAGGACAATTATAATTTTAACAATTAATGGTTCTGCATAAAATAGGACAAAGTAAGAAATGTCAGTTGTTACCCTGCTTTGATAAAAGTGCCAAATACTTTGTTAACCTGTTTAAATCTGAGGTAGTTTTGACAACCGTTTGACCAGCTTAATGCAAAATGTCCATGAGAGTCAGAGAGACTAAATGACTGACAGCACTTCACCACAGCGGCCGCTCACTTTCAGCCCAGCCAGGTGGTCGGCCCTCGTGGGCCCAATGTTCAGGATGGCGACTGGCATTTTCCTATCACTCGCTGCCAGTAGAAACCTGTATCCTGAGTATACCTTGGGAATAACAGAGAGGGACCCGATTACATACAAGAATACAGAAGAATTGATTTGCAAACTCTAAGGTGTTTCAGATATTTAAAAAAAAAACCTACCTGCAACGATGAGCCCACGACTAACACTGCGTCCGACTCCGCCAGTCTGTGGTGCACAAACTGTACAGTCGTTTTGTTCACAGAGTCTCCAAAAAACGTAACCTCGGGCTTCAGTATCCCCCCACAGTCTTCACAGGAGGGAACTCTGAAATGGAGCACCTGCTCGTCCTCTATGAAGACATCACCGTCCGGAGCCACAGCGCCTGCCTGCGCTCTCCATCCTGGGTTCAGAGCTACAAATCGCTTCTGGAGCTCCTCTCTCGCTGAGATGGCCCCACAGCCTAAACACACCACCCTGAGGAAACATACATGAACTCTAGTGTTTCATCTTCAAACACATTTTAGTAGAAGTGGCCAGTGGATGGTGACTCAAAGGGATAGGATACCCAAATTGCAACATATTTTCTCTCTAGTGATGCCGTACGTTGCACATAGTTTGGGTTTTATTTGCCCAGGTTTTGAAATATTTGTCTACGATACAATGAAGGTGAATATAATATGAATACATTCACAGCATTAAAACTTACTTAGTCCCCCGCCAGTTCAAAAAACTGTTCTCTGTGTTTACATCTTGTGTCCAACAGGAAAACTTTAGAAATGAACATTTAAATATTCATAGATCAAGTCATTTTAAATAAGTTAGACAGACTAGATGCGTTTTTAAGGGTTTTAATGAGGAAATTATATAGTCAACTTTTTTTTTAAAAGACAGTATCAGACACAATATTGTTCCAAACAGACTGGAGGGGATCTTTAAGAAAACCTCACTGTGAACAGATTTCTTTGCAGCTACTTTATATGGAAGAAACAGATCATATTAAAAATGTTGAGGTATGTTGACTATACAGAGTCACCAGGACACCTTTTATTTAAAAGACATTTGCTACTGAACTATTAAATCAAATTTTAAAATGTTGTTGGCACTACAAATTACATCCTATTAATCTCTTTTGTATTTTAGGTGGCAGCGTGAATTTCAAAAGCAAATATTTCAAAACCTGCTCAAATAAAACCTAATATAATCTTATATATATTCTACAAATAATTCTTATGGTTCATTCTTATCGTGCACCAGTTTGAAATTTTCTTTTTC